ACACATCTGGAAACTTGTTCCCATGCCAAAGGGGGTATGGTATTCAAACCAGAGTTACATATCTGAAGGATAGCACCTACAAAATTATAGCACCCCTGTCTCAGACTGTCAACCTCGACTGTAAGTTCAGAGTCCTGGCCTGGGGTTTTGAACCCACAGCCTTCTGACTGGAAGAATGTCAGCATATAGGCCAGGCTGTCACAAAAGCAATGTCAATGTTACTATCAATGTTCATTTGGCTTAAAACTCCTTGTATTAATGGCAATCATTTTGTTCTTCAAACCCGATGTATGTGACTCTTATATTTCAACCTTAAGTAAGTTGCACTCCTCTCCTTCTAGATGTATAATGAGGTTGTGATTTTTGAACTCTTCCATCAGATCTACCATCATTTTTCAATATTGAGATGTTTTAGAATTAATGTGATGATCCCATGACAACAATTTAAAACTCCCAAAGCAAGCATTTCCTTAGTAATTTTTGAGATGGAAAGAAATTGTGGAAATGAACAGTAGATGATCAGCATCTGAAAGAGGAAGATAATGTTAGAAAGCACTAATGAGAAAAGACTATTCAGCCTGTCAAATCAGCTTCACGCACAGACCATGTGCAGTCTGCTATGCCCTACTTTATTTAATCCCTGAGGATTAGTTGTGACCTCTTCCAATCTCTCCCTCAAAGATATTCAAATAAAATAACTGCCAGTTGTCTTTTTACAGATAACATTATCGCAGAGCTCACAATGCAGGAACTTTTCTGTTCCACGGGACTTCAGAATTTGGGTTACTTCCATCGGTAGCTATTTCAGTGATCTTCAGTGCTATTTGTAACAAGATACTTATCCAGCTGTGTGTGTTTCCTCTGATGTTAATCTGCGGAATGTTGGAGGCAGCCTAAGAGCGTACACTTTGTATTGGACTGTCCTTATTACATCAAGCTATTCAAGTTCATCGCTGTGAATGTTGCCCACAATCTCTGATGAAAGGGGTGTTTGTGTAAGGGTGAGCCCCACACAAAATGTCTGCTGCCAGACTACCTGTAATCTTTTTGAACTATGGACATTTTAATGAAGAAACTGAGAGCTGTCAACATTGACGAGCATACATGTGGGTTTGTAGAAAAATGCAGATGATGTGTAGGTTAAACTACATTTAGTGTTGACAATGGGTAACATTATCTTTTTCTAGTATTTTATCCCTTTTTTATCTATTTACTTGTGTATCTGTTTTCTAACAATAGTTTTCCCCCAAATTGGAAACTTATCTTTTGTAAGTGAATGGGCAAGTGCTTACAGAATAGTTCCTTGGGTCATATCTTGTGAAAAATAACATAATGAGCTAGCACATGTTTAGCTGGATATTCCTGTCTGGAGAGCTGCCTTATTAATTTTTTATGTCTGTTTATTTCCACTTTGTTTTCAAGTTTTGCCTTTTTGTTGTAGCTCATGTCTCAGAGGACAAACCTAATGAATTAATCATTTTTGAAATACTTATCCTATGTACCTTAATGGCTGTATTAGTCTATCAACATGATTTCCGCCCTCTCTGAAGCAATGTGTCTGGAGTATGATTGGTGTTCAACCAGATTTGTAGTTGATTGATTAAAACAATTATTTTGACTTTGATTTGCATTTATATGTAATTGCATATTAGTACAGTTTTAAGGCTTCTACAGCTGATTGAAATTGTCTCGCTAAAGCCATTGAAAGCTAAAACAGATGATTCAAAATGTTTTTTTTCATAATAATTCTTGCATTTAATATAATTGCTTATCATGTTTTCTAGAAGTCTCAAAGAAGTCTCAAATCAAAGGTTATACTGTAAAGTGAATTGACTGTATATTTTGTGGGCGAAAAGTGGCAGCCAATTGCGTACAGCAGTGGCCCACAAATTATTATTTATTATTATTATATGAGATCTCTTGGAAATGTGCAGAAGATTACTTTACAATTGTGGGTTTTCATAGGAATATAGGAGTCAAAAACAACAGCAAATGACTTGCATGTATATAGTGCCCTTTTGCTGGTAGTGTCTTGGTGTGTTTAATGGTGCCGGAGTAAGCTGGGGAGTTTGGTGGGGATGGTGGGTGATCTTAGGCTGGGTCAAATAGAAAGATCTGCAGATGCAATCTGAAGACGGACATGGAGGGGGCAAAGTGGAGGGATTTCTAGAGCACAGAGTTCTAGATTTGGGGGTGAAGTGACTAGAAGCATAGCCGCTAATAGTGAAGCGACAGGGATGAGGGACATGTTGAAAGCTGGAGCCAGCTAAGTGAAGGGGATGCTCATTCTGCTCGTGTATTACATCATGGCAGATATTTTACTTTCGTATTTTCTGCTTTTTTCCACACCTCTTAATATCCTTACTTACCAATCTCTACCTTTTGAAGGTCTCAACTGATTTTACTTCAACAGCCTTCAAGAAATGTGCACCCCGCATTTCCACAACCTACTGTGTGAAGAAATTGTTTCCGATTTCACTTATAGCTGTCTTATCTCTAAGAGTAAGAGAACATTTTAAGAGTATGTCCACTTGTTTTGGGTCCTTCTGTCAAAGGAAAGAGGCATCCAATATCTAAAATGATAAATTTGTCTTTTGACAGTGGGATCTAATTTGCAGTTTTTTTTAAGAAATCAAAGTTGTGGAATGGAACTCATCAGTAACTGAGTCCCATCGATCCCCAGAATCTTTGCTCCAACCCAAGTTTCAATGGCCTTTAGAAGCACCATAAATTAAACCACAGTGTTCTGATCCTGTTTTGACTACCTAACAATCTTGTAAGAGAACAATTTAGTTCCTTTTTAATTTTGTTTCCTTATGTTGTTTCTCATCAGTTGAAATTTTAATTGGCACATTCTTATTGAGAGGAGTACCAAATTGATCTAATCCTGTTCTCACTTTGGGAATGTTTATGTGCATTTTCTCAGTGCAATATTTTAAAGTAATTCACATGATTAAATGTAGGTCTGAATTTATGAGGCATTAACTGCTCCCAGATGCAGAATAAATGCTAAGGTCACAAGGTCATTTCTACATTGGATCATTTTATTAAAAATGCTTTCTGAGATTGAGGCTCACGGTTTAGAGATTATTAATGAATTGCATTTGATTTTTGTATTTGGAATGAATTGCTGAGGCTTGATATTTGGTGTGATGCACAGTCATTTGCTGATTAATCTGTAATATCATGATGTACTTTGTATCAAAATGTGTTTAATTTTAAAATGTGATTTTCAGATTGCTTAATTCTGATTTTGTTTTCTGCTGCTTAACAACTGCACCTCGTGGTATAGAGAGTTTATTGCACCAACAGTGGTGCTTTATTGCTTTTATTTGATTACATTGTGGTTGTAATGTGGATCCCATTCATTGATCATGTACACAGCCAGCCTGCTTACTTCCTATGTGCCGGTTAACTCTCGCACTAAATTGATTGACTTCCAGATCTCGCTTTGCAAGCGAGAGGCCTGAGTTCAATTCCAGGCAGGGCGAAACCTTGGGCAAGTTCCCTTACTCCACACGCCTAATAATAATCCCTCCAAAAACCAAAAACAATAATAATAAATTGGTCATTTTCAATCCACGACTGTTTGTGGGACATTGCTGTGCGCAATTGGCTGCCGCGTTCGCCCACAAATATACAGTCAATTCGCTTTACAGTGTGTTCTGTGAAGCGCTTTGGGACGTCCTCCCGACGTGAAAAGCGCTATATCAAATGCAAGGATTATTATTATTATTATTATTATCATCATGTGGAGTCCTGTAGCTCAGTGGTTAGAGCACTCGCTTTGCAAGGAGAGACCTGAGTTCAATTCCAGGCAGGGCGAAACCTTGGGCAAGTTTCTGTACTCCACACGCCTAATAATAATCCCTCCAAAACAAAAAAAAACAATAATAAATTGGTCATTTTCAATCTACGACTGTTTGTGGGACATTGCTGTGCGCAATTGGCTGCCGTGTTCGCCCACAAATATACAGTCAATTCACTTTACAGTGTGTTCTGTGAAGCGCTTTGGGATGCCCTCCTGACGTGAAAAGCGCTATATCAAATGCAAGGATTATTATTATTATTATCAGGTTGATGCCGCGGTCACTTCTTGCTTTGTGCATATATACAGCACATAAGTGATGGCAGTGGCAACCTGACGACTCCAAAATAAGCCTTTTTTAAGCTGAAGAAATGGTTAGGAAGTGAGCTGTCTGTCTGCATACGTCGCAGTGAAACCAGTTGCAGTGGCCTTCTTATATCACGATTGGGATTTTATGGACCCTAATCACTGTATTTTAATGGGTTAGTTCCGCTGTATTATAGTAGTTTCCACTGTAGCATAGTAATTTCTTGTATTTCCAAGTCAATTTGTGTTCTTAAATGTTCAGTCTGATTTGAAAATTTTAAGCTTCAGCAGCTATGCTTTATGTTCTGTTTAGTGAAATGCTGTGGGAAACCATGCCTTGGGAAGTGAAAGACACCATACAAATGTAATCTTGTTGTTGTAGTGTTGATGGAGCAAGGCTATAAACCGGTACAAGTTTCCATATGAAAACTGTGAAACCTCAGCTCTTGTATCTAGTTTTTAGGATCCTGTTACAGATTAGACTAGTTTCATGTGCTGTGAGGGATTGTGTAACTGGGTTAATTAAATCTTTTGCAATAAAAAACAGGAAATCTATCTTTGATGATATCCTGGGTGTGCTTGTGTAAAATAGTGTGGAAGACCTCTGACTGGGAATGTAAGGCACAAGGAAACCTGATCTGCACAGATTTATATTCATGTTCATTCAATAATATATGTTTATAATCTTAAAACTGGTGAACTAAAAATTTAAGCATTTCTGGATTCCTCATTTTGCTTTGTAATAATGTACTTTACCATGTTATTGAAGTTATTTTTCTTTTCTGAAAACTCCTGTTTTTGAAGCATTTCTAGAAAAGTACATTAATAATAAGGACATTATGGGATGCTGTTTTCCTGATGAGTTTGTGCTTTCTTTTATTTACAGACATTTGATGCAAATGACCTCTTTCAAGGTCAAAACTTCAACAAGGTTCTAAGTTCTCTGGTGGCGCTAAACAAAGTAACTGCAGGTAAGGGAAATAGCTGTGTCAAAGTCGGGGTTCAGTATTGCAGTTGTACATTTTAAGAAAATGTATGTCTAAACATGATTGAAAGTTTATCTGTCAAGACAAAAAACTTTAAATAAGCACATACTTACTTCACAACACAATGGGTGCTGAATCCATTATCTTTTTGAACACACATTGTGTGATTCATAGGAGTTAGTATCCCAAATACTTGGCTTTGACGTTCAGATAATATTCGGAGCTTGTGCTGTTCAGCCACTCCCCAAAAGGTTTTCAATTTTACACACGGTAAGGTGTAATGAGGAGTAAGTATATCAGTTTCTGGGCTTTAATTCCATGAACTGTCTATTGGAGATGCACAAGAACAAAGAGAGTGACCTAACTCTTTATTCAATATTAGTTTTTGTTTTTCCTTCTGTTGTGAGAAGACCTGTTGAACTGTTTTGCAGCTTGTGTTTGTAATCTGAAAAGTTCTGGTGATCTTTTGGTAATTGCTCCTGGAACATGAGTTTATTCATGTGGAGTCCTGTAGCTCAGTAGTTAAGAGCACTCGTCTTACAAGCGAGAAACCTGGGTTTAATTCCCGATAGGGCGAAATGTTGGGCATGTTTCCTTACTCCACACGCCTCTGTTTACCTAGCAGTAAGTAGGAAACCAATTGTTAGTCGATTGGCAGATCGCCTATATAAAAAAAATTGGTCACACGATTCACGACTGTTTATGGGTCACTGTTGTGCACAATTGGCTGTTGTGTTTTGTCTACAAAATATACAGTCAATTCACTTTACAGCATATTCTGTGAAGGGCTTTGAGACATCTCGAAGACGTGATATGGCTCTATATCAAATGCAAGGATTATTATTGGTAGATATTAAAATACAATGACACATTGCGTATCACTTAAACATTTTGTGTCTCATAAGTGAGAGATAAAAATTGTAGCTAATTAAACCACCCAGTGATCCCAGAAGCCAGAACTATCTAAAATTGGGAGAGTAGCCTCCCCTAGCTAATCACAATAGGCTGCAAACAACAACAAGATTACAGTTGTATAGCGCCTTTCACGTCGGGAGGACGTCCCTAGATGCTGGACAATGTACAGCATTTCAGACCCGAGCTGGGGTCAGGGAGGGAGGAGGGAGGGGAGGGGAAGGGGGGTGACCGATGGAATGGTCGAAGAGGAGAGTTTTGAGGCGGGAATTGAAGGAGGCTAAGGAGGGGGCGAGGTGGAGTGATTGGGGGATGGAATTCCAGAGGCTGGGGCAGAGTGGCTGAAGGCTCTCCCGCCAATGGTGGGGCGGGTGGGTCGGGGAACGTGGAGCAGGCTGGAGCCGGCTGAGCGGAGGGAGTGGGCGGGTTGGTGGGGGCGTTAGGAGGTCGCAGAGGTAGGGTGGGGCGAGGCCATGGAGGGCTTTGTAGGTGAGGACCAGGATCTTGAACTGGATCCTCTGAAGGATAGGGAGCCAATGGAGTCGGGGGAGATGGGGTCACGGAGTTTGGTGCGGGAGAGGACATGGGCTGCAGAGTTCTGGATTATCTGCAGCCTGTGGAGGGAGGAATTGGGAAGGCCGACAAGCAGGGCATTTTCATAGTTGAGCCTGGAGGTGATAAAGGCATGAACAAGAGTTTCAGTGGCCTGAGCGGTGAGGTAGTGGCGGAGTCGGGCGATGTTACGGAGGTGAGGGAAGGCAGAGCGGGCCATGGCTTGGATGTGGGGAAGAAAAGACAGTTGAGGGTCGAACAAGACACCTAGGTTCCTGGTGAGCTGAAGTGTGCAACCATGGAGGTTGATGCTGCCAGAGCCTGAGGTGCTGAGGCGCTGGTGCGAGCCAATCAGGAGGGCCTCAGTCTTGTTCACATTCAACTGTAGGAAATTTGCCCTCATCCAGGACTTGATGTCCGACAGACATTCTGTCAGTGGTCCTGGAGTTGAGGTGGAGGCAGAAAGATAGAGTTGGGTGTTATCCGTATACATGTGGAAGTTGACCCCATGTCTGCATATGATGTCACCAAGGGGAGCATGTAGATATTAAAGAGGAGAGAGCCAAGGACAGAGCCTGGGGGATGCCAGACATGACAGTGCGGGGGCTGGAGGAGAAACCGTTAAGAGACAACAAGTGGAGATGGTGAGAGAGGTAGGATTCGATCCAGGAAAGGGCAGGTCCGTGAAGATTGAATAAAGTGGAGAGGCGGTGTATGAGGATGGAGTGGTCAACAGAATCGAAGTTGGCAGAGAGGTCGAGGAGGACAAGGAAGCCGAGGGAGCCCTGATCACAGATGTTCAGAATGTCATTGGTAGCCAACCTCATTTTATATAACAAACTTATTTTAAAAATGTATGTGCTACTAAAAGTGTGACAAAGGAATTGAAGGTTATGAGATGTGTGAACACATGATCTGATACAGCACCCAGGGTTTCATGTATTGTTTGGAAGATGTAATATGTGTTCAGGACTGAATGAAGTATCTATAGTTTATCTTTGGGAATAAAGGAGGTATTTCAGTCATTTGGTGATAAAGTTTCTAAAGTTATTCAGGTCTGCCCCAGGTAGGTTGCAGTTCATAATAATTAGATATCATTCCTGACTTTCATTTAGTGTTACTTTTCCTTTTCTCATCGACAACAGCATGTCAGAAATATTTACTTTGCTGATTTGAATAACAACAACAACGAAATTACATTTATAGTGCGCCTTTCACGTTGGGAGGACGTCCCAAAGCGCTGAACAGTCAGGTGTTGGGGCCCGAGCATGGGGGAGAGATGGTGTAGGGGTGAGGGAAGGCGGAGAGGTGGGAGGGAGACCAAAGGCACGGTCGAGGAGAAGGGTCTTGAGACCAGCCTTGAAGGAGGCAAGGGAGGAAGTGAGGCGAAGGGACAAGGGAAGGATTTCCAGAGTGTGGGGGCAGAGAGGTGAAAGTATGAATAAAGAGGTGAAAGTATTGATATTATGGGAGAAACATTCAGGCAGTTCAGCTTTTGTCTATGTATTAAAATTGGAACCACTTTACCATCACCTCAGACTGCGATAGTTCAACTTAATTAACCTATTTATGGTTGAAGACTTCCAAACAATTATTTAAAAGTTCTGCCTTTCTCACCTGCTGCTATCTGCAGTCTGTAACAGCCTGTTTTGTTTTTAAAGGGGCTCCTCCGATGGTCAGTGGGGAAAATGCACCATCCAGTATGGCATTGAGCCATATAGAACACCAAGGTGTCAGGTTTCATTCTTGGTCTTTACTGCTTTACCTGAGGTCAGCCTGGCAGTGAGGACACCTTAATTAGCCTTGGGAGGGACAAATCAAATTACCTTTGCTTCTGCTCTAATAGCTTTCCAATGACTCTTGCTGGAAAGTGCACATGTTGAGCATTAGGTGAGCTCAGGATCATTCTCTGCTGTGATATCCCTATGTTGTCTGCCAACACTAATTGTATGGGTTCACACAGAGAATGGCCAGTTGGACTGTTAGCTCTTATGAAGCCATACCTTTGCATGAGTCATTTCCTTCAGGGAAAGGGAGTGAATTTGAGACAACTGTAACATTTCTACAGTGCACCGAAAATCTAAACCACTCCAGTTTCAGGTTGCTGCCCTTCCTGGCAACCTAGGGTGATATGTAATGGATTCTTATATCAAGTACAAGTATCATTTGTACTTGATATAACGTTCCTAACGTTATAACTGAGCACCCAGGTTGGTGCTGATCAGAAGCGAGGTACAGTACTTGCCCACAGTAAAGGAGGGAAGATTGGTCAGAAGTCATCTGGTTCAAGTCTTGCTGATCAGAAAGGATTTGAAATTCAACAAGGATAAAGGACTTGAAATTTCAGAGGATGATGGGAAGATGCAGCAGCCCATAAACTCTCCATAAACATGCGGATGAAACTTGCATTGAATTATAAAAAGAAAGGAAGTGACAAGATAAGTTACTAGCTTCACATAACTTTCCACACTGTGGTTCATTATCTCTCTCAAGCTCATTCCTTATCAGTGTTATTGCCATCTAAAACTATTTTAAATAAAAATATTAAAACATTGATTATTGATGGCCCTTTTTCTCTATAATTACAACAACTTGTGCTGTTTGGGTTTCTGACATCAGTATTGATGAACCTAGAAAATGAGTAACTTGTGGCAAACTAAGGGGCTGGAACAGCTCCATACAACTGGCAATCAATATGTAATATGTTAGAAATGAGATTGATTTCTCCCCCATCTGTTGTATTTTTATTCTGTAATATCTTGGAGAGAATAAGAATCTAAAATATTTATTTATAGTCAACTGGGTAAAGTTTTTTTTCTCTAATTAGATGAACATTGCTTAGGCAGACATAATAAAAAAAGATTGAATATCCATTATTACATATTTAGTAAAAATTTAATTCAATAACTACATTTTAAAGCAATATTCAACAACAAAATGACATTTGTATAGCGCTTTTCACGTCGGGAGGACGTCCCAAGGCTCTGTGTTTCAATCAGTGTTTCGGATTGGGGGGCCGGATTGGGGAGGGTGCAGGGCAGGGTGGAAAGAAGGGTGATCTGAGGCACAGTCAAAGAGGAGGGTCTTGAGACGGGTCTTGAAGGAGGCAAGGAAGGGGGCGAGGTGGAGGTACTGCGGGACGGAGTTTCAGAGGATGGGGGCAGAGTGGCTGAAGCTCCGCCTGCCAATGGTGGGGTGGGCGAGGCGGCGGACATGAAGCAGGCTGGAGCCCGCTGAGTGGAGGGAATATAATTTGAACACACCATATTATGTAGTATATTTTTGACAATATACATAAATATTCATTTTTATTTGATTTGACGGTCATTTCTGATGTTTTGCACAAGATAGGTCTTTTCAATAGCGTTCATTTAAAGCATATATTCGGGTTGGATATCAATAACATTTGTCCTATAACAAATGAACTTTCTAACTAACTTTACTTGACTAACGTGGAGCATACCCTTGAGTATGTAATGCTAAGAAAATGAATTATATTTTTGTCAAAAAGTTTAATTGAGGGATACTAAAATACACTGTAGGATTTTCTAAAATGGTCACGTAATTTAGTTCAACAAACTGGCTTTTGGTACTTGTTTTAGTTCTGTTATTACATAGTAAACTGTTGTTGGAAGTGGCTTCTATCTGGTTTCTGAAACCATTTAATTGGATTGTGGCTTTTCAAAGGTGTAAAACACTCTGTTTGATCTAATGTTGGCAACATTGTCATCAATTATAATGCTTAGTCATCAATTATAATGGATCAATGGCTGACTGAACATCAGATACTCCACAGTGATAGCACACTTCACACGGTGTCAAAGTCCTTTGTTTAATCTAATGGGGCTTTGTAGCTCCAATTCAATCATTGATCAGCAGCAAAACAGTACATTCAGTTTTGTTTAATCCCTCCAGCTGCTCAATAGCAAAATTCTGATGACTTTTAAAGATAAACATACTAAATATTTGGATAGTTTAAAGTTGAAAAAATGGAAAAACACATGGTAAATGTGGCACAAATTGTGGCAAACAATCAAATCCAAATAATTGAAGTTCTTCTGCAGTTTGGTTTCCTCCAAACAAACAAGACTAGCACAGTTTTGAACTAAAAGGAAAGAAAGTATCTTTCCATAATGGATACTATAATGTATTTATCTAGTTTGCATATCTAAAAAGAGAATGCACTTCTCCATCTCACATCTGCTCCGGCATATTGCACTTAATAATTAACAAGCCTACATCAGTGAACAGGAAATCTAACAGCTGGGAGAACCATACTCTAAACACAATAACTATGAATTCAGAGCACTCCTGATATATTACACATAAGCAAGCATCAGTTGGGTGGCAGAACATGCATTTGAGAAACGCTGGTCTAGGCTGAAACAGCGCTGGGAGTGTGCTAAATTGTCAGACGTGCTTGCCCTTCTCATAAGAGGCCAAGGTGAGGTCCTGTCTGCCTGTTCAGTGGACATTAACATTTCTGTGGCACTATTTAAAAAGAGAAGGGTTTTTTTCCCCTGGTGTCCTGGCCAACAGTCCCCCAGATCAAATTGGTTACTCACTTCATAATTGTTTTGGAGCATGACTGTGAAAAGTTGGCTGTTGTCTTTGCCGATAAAATATATCACAACATCTTTCCATAAATCTTTCCATAAATCCTGTGAAGTGGGTTTTGACAACATGTAAGGCACTGTATTCAAATGCAAGATTTATTATTTAAGCTGCATAATGCAAAACATCATGTTTTGAGACAAAAACTGAAGTCGCTGGGAACACTCAACAGGTCAGGCAGCATCTATGAAGAAAGGAAAGTGAGTCAACGTTCCAGGTCCACGATCCTTCGTCAGAACTGGAGCATTTTGGGAGGGAGAGGCTTTTAAGGATTAACACAGCGGGGGAGAAGCAGGGCAAGGAAGACGAAAGAGAAAATAGAGTAAAGGACAGGGGATGATGGGTTAAAGAGGTGTTAATAATGTAAAATAAAGGGGAGGGGTTGAAATTGCAACAAAATAGGCAGACCAGAGAGAGAAAAGGTGTGTTTGGGACCCAGATATTTAGGTCCTATCTGTCTTGTGATCCATGTTGTTAAGAGGCCAACCACCACTTCAAATAAACATAATTTCCTCTGAGATAATTTGATTTATATTTATTCTTCATCCAAACTGATACCCCAAACATTTAAATTAGTTAGATACACTTGTGTGTAGGGTACCAATTGATTACCAAATTAACTGTACAGATTTACCTCATAACATTTGCTCCATTTCTAATCAACTTTGCTGTGTAAAATCTTAGGAGATGTTTCTTTTTGCGTGAAGGCTGATGCAAGAATGTTGGCTGTTGCCCTATTCATTTGTAGACCAGCACACCACTGTGTGACACCTCTGGGGAAAAGATATTATTTTGTTTTGTTAACTGAATGATTTTCATGTTGAAATGTCTAAATAGAAGGGAAATGGGATTAGAGTACTTATTGGAGAGTTTGTAAATTACAACTGGGATGGGCCAAATGTGTTCTTCTATGCAGAAATGTTCTGCTTTCTATGATTTCACGCTCATTTAATGTCAACGATGTTCAGTCAGTGAGCACTGAGAGGAATTGGAGCAATATCCTTTTCATTCATGCATGTTTGTAAAGAGGATGTTGATTCCATAATCCAGGTCTAGGCAAGCAATGAACACTATTCAAAGCAAGTAATTGACCTAGTAAGTTGTGATCTTTAAAAATTGCTGTACGACCATCTATAGTGTAGCATTTTGGAAAATGTATTGAGAATTGGATGTTGGACACATAGAAGAACATGCTCTGCTTTGAAATTAACTTCCATGGTAACGTGCTGTGGATCAGCCTGACTCGGGAACAAGATGACTGTGCTGAATCGCTGACTTAATTCCAACATTCCCTTACAAAACATGTTACCTTAGAGCCAGATTAGCTCCAGGAAGACCCTGCTTACCTCCTCTCTTCACTTTCCCTCCCCTCCTCCCCCCCCCCCCCGCCAGAGAATTGTCAAAACACTACAGCAAACATTGCATCTGAACGAGTTTTCTACACGTATTGAGATGTGGGTGGGAGGAGTTGATCGAGATAGATGTAGATAAATAGGGTTTGGGTAAGTAAACCAGCTATCCAGGGAGGCTTTCGTTTCTCTTATACTGACCTGTTTTGTTTTCTGACTTGCATTTGGTCAGCCAAAATACTCTGATATAGCAGAGCTAAGACAGTCATATCCAAGTTTATACGGAATTCAAACCAAAGATTTTAGATGACCTACAAAAATGCAGCAATTAATGAGTGTTAAAAAACAAGTATCTGAAGAACAGTACTTCACTGTGCAATTTTATTACTGGCGTGCATTATTAACATACACAAAATAAGATTGGAAAAATTCTAATTATTCAAATAAGACAAATTTGGTAGCTCTTTACAAGAGCTGGGAAGATTAAGGGTTGACCTAATTGAGGTATTGAAGTGCCTTAAGCATCATGATGAGGGTAAATAATAATAGATTATTTCCTCTGATCAGCAATAAGAAGGAATGAAGTTAGCATGGTCACAAAAAGAATTAATAGTGAGACGAGAAACAAATTCTTTATATAGAGGGTGGTAGGAATGTGGCATTCTCCGGCACAAATCACTATCACAAACCATTGTTGAGAAGGAATCTATAAATTCTTTGAAATGATAGATACTTGAAAGAGTGGAAAAATAATGGGTGTGGGGTTTGGAGAAGAATGGTGTTTAGCTTTAATTGATTCAGAAAGAAAAAACATCAGAGCAAACTTGATGGGCTAAAATGGCTTATTTCTGAGCTTTAACATTTGATGATTCTGTCGACAAATTGGGGTTGTATGCCGGGTTGTAATTTAACGGAAATGTTTTTCATATTTCAAGTGATATTGCCTTCATATGCAATTAATATGCTTGTTCTATTCTTTAGATATTGGTGTTGGAAGTGATTCTGTATGTGCACGTCACTCATCCCAACGTATAAAATCTGTTGATTCTCTCGCTGGATCGCATTTGTCACTTGGAAGAACATCAAAACATTTTCACGGAAAATATCGCAGTTTGGTGAGTTAAAAATGAAGTAATCATTCCGGACTTTTTCTTTTTTAAGTAAAATTTATTCCAGAGAAAGACAGGAAACTTGGGTAGAATTTCTTGCTTAGTTGGCAATTTTTCAGCTGAGCATTCACCCAGAATTCAAAGGTAAAATAAACATTCTTCAGACAGTTTCAGCAGAAAAAGCCAACACACCTGTTAACTTGTGTGCTAATCTAAATATGTTATTGTATGCTGTTTTGTTTGGAATCTGTGAAGACCTTCATCAATTTTTCCTTGAATGCTCAGGCTTTTTTGAAGGAGTGCAAATCCATTTTTATGAGGCAGTTTGTTGCTAAGATGCATGGATGGTGTTTGGTCTGCATCAGCTTTAAAGACTTGTCAATGTAACCTTGATTTATACCTCAATACAGTTGACCCTTGTTTGACTGCAGGATTTGAAGCCAAAGCAAATGATGTTCTGTTACAGTGGGGCTGATAACCAGTTTGAGCAGTGACAGGTCTGCTCTGCTAAAGAGCGGGTTGGGGGGGAGGGGAAGAGGGGTTAATGGAGGGAGTTAAGGAGGCAATCATGTTCTCAAGGAGTTTCCAGTCATCTCAGTTTCTCAAACTGCCTCCTCCAAAGACACAGATCTACTATTGTAAATTAGCAACATGGTTGCGGGGGTGGGTGGGGAGTGCAACCCATTTTGCAGATCGATGCTGTCAGTCCTGACATTTACAATGTCTACGTTTATGAATGAATGATGTGATGGAAACATTTTTATTACAATGTTGAATGTGTTGCTATTTGCGAAGTGAGTGTTGAACTTGCTGACATTTACAGTGAATGCACTTTGGGAACCATGTAAATAGTAAATTTTTCAAGATTAGGGTATAAACTGTAGATAAATGAGCACTGGAAGAAGTTCAATAACAAAGAGAGCCAATTCTGAATGCTATTAACAAATGCTGTATTCAAATTGAAAACCCATCCATATTGTGCCATGGAAGGTCTTTATTTTTCAAAAGTCCCCTCAAAAAAGGACTTTTCAAATCCTGGTGAATTGATAAGCATATTGTTTTTTTACCAGCTGATTGCACAGTCACATGATAATAGAGTTTTATTTGCAAGATTCACAAAAGGGTTTGTAATTGCAGATAGTGAAGGGACCCGGATGTGTCTCAGGCTGACCCTCTGGAACTTGGGCATGCAGCCCTTCAGCTCAGACACTGAGCCCCTGCCAGGCGCCAGGAGCTTCCTTTGGTTACAATCTGGCTTTCTGTATGTCAGTGTCTGAGTGGAGTTCCGGAGGGTTTGCCTGAAACATATCTGACGCGCTACTGAATTCAATATTTACAAATCCTTTGTAAACATCAATGTCAAAATTAGGGCCATACTTTCTTAAACCAAAATCCAAAGTTTTGAAATGCCCATCTATTAACAACTGGATCTTCCTCAGTGTGAACACATTTCTTCCTCCTCCTCCCAGGCACTCAACCCCCCCACCCCACTGGCAACCCTGTTGTCAATTTACAATAGTAGATCTGTGTCTTTGGAGCAGGCTGTTTCAGAAACTGAAATGACTGGAAACTCCTTGAGAACATGATTGCCTCCTTAACTTCCTCCATTTCTCCCTCTTACCCCATCCTCACCAACCCGCTCTTTAGCAGAGCAGACCTGTCACTTTGTTTCAGATGATTCACTGTGACACATGAGTTTTAAGTGCTTCCCTCTCCATGCTGGAAGTCGTGTGCAATGGGTTTCTGTCCATTTTATTTCTAGATATTTTTTCTTTAAATTTAGTCTACCGACAATACTTCCCCCTCCTGAAAAATCAGTCTTTCGGTCTTGTATGGACACTTTAACTGGCTCCCAAATGTTGGAAGATACAAGATAGCAATTTATTTTCCTTTTCCTTGGGGAAGAGACAGTTTAATTTACTGGTGTCTATCAGGCAATGCTTTCTTTCATCAGCTCTCGTTCCTCTTGCTGTTCATTAAACTGGGAGCTACACATGGGTCTTTTCAAAGCCATAAACACTATTGTTCCCTGAATACAGTCAGCGTTAGGCCATATGAACCGGAAAGTCAGCAATTCAAATCACGGGTTGTACAGATTTCACTGATTTCAGCTGGCCAGCAGTTGAAGAACTATAATGAGCATCAAAGGCCCTGGACTAAGGAGGAAAAAAACAGTCAGGATTCCTGTTCCTGATTGCTAACTAGAATCAGTTAGCAATCAGGAACAGTAGTGTGGATTTTGGGTGACGGCTGGGTTGTGTTTGGCTGTGATGTACATCAGTTAAATAACTTGCCAGCACTTACTGTCTCCCTCATAGATAAGAGACACTGAGCAAGGGTCATGGAACCGTCCCCAATAGGTGGAGAAAGGAGTCAAAACAGTGGTGGAGAGGTGGGAAAGGAGGAGAGGTGGAAGAAAAAATGAGCAGGGCTCTGCTGTTTGATTTACAGGCCCTTAGCTCAATACAAGGTTGTTTTTCTGCTTTATACCTGGGACTGAAATACTACCTCACATTGGTTGAATAGCTGTTGTCGTTTTCAGGCACTGGGAAAATATCAAGTTGTGGTGTTTTGCCTTTTTTCAGTATCATGGTCTCTTAATGTGTTCAACAAACAAATCTTTCTTGATGTAAATAGTGAATCTCTGGTATTACAAGAGACAACATAAACACTGCATTACTGGTTCTTACTCACTTGGCTCTGATGTTTCTTTGTGTGGATAATAAAGGCTCTTCTGGGTGTACAATCTATAATTTTTGCCAAAGAAAGCTTTCACCCAAATATTGATTTCAATACCATTATTATATTAATTTTAAAATAAGGTTTTCATTGGTTTTTAAAAAGTAAATGTTTTGTAGTCAGTGTGTTGACAACCATCCTAACAACTAGCAAAATAGGTTACTTATCAAATGTTTGAGAACCCTCAGTGAGCAACTTCTAATTATAAAATGTACTGCAGAGAGGACTGGGAAATAATTTTATGAAGTGCACTCAGGATGTGTTGGTCATGGACAAGTAACAGTGAAATAAATCAGATCTGATGAAGGCTCATACATTAAACTTTAGCCTATCATTCCCTTTTAGATGCTATTAACCTGCTGTATGTTTCCAGTATTTTCTGTTTTTATTTAAATAAGCACAATTTTCTTTTATTTACAGGACATGAGTGACAACAGCAACTATCAAATGGTGGTTAAAGCAAGATTCAATTTCCAACAGAACAACGAAGATGAATTATCCTTTGCAAAAGGAGATATTATTCACGTCTGCAGAGTCGAGGAAGGGGGCTGGTGGGAGGGGTTGCTGAATGGCAAAACTGGATGGTTCCCCAGCAATTATGTGAGAGAAATCAAATCAAATGGTAAGTTCTCAAGTTAAATTAAAGTAGAATGAGAAACAGGATGTGTACAAAAGTAATTGCGAAGTGCTCAGTTGTGTACAATAAACAAAAGGGCAAAACTCAGCATAGGGTGGTCTATAGGACGTATAGCAAATCTGATGTTTAACTGTTCTGAAATGAATGGGATTGTATGAAGCACAAGTTGAAAGTTAATTTTTTGGCATGATATGTTCAGGAAGGAAAAATTCTTCCACAAAATGTAATTCATGATGGCGGAAGGGGAAAGAACCCCAATTATGTAAAAGCATTGTGATATACAAATTAATATAGTGCTGATTTCAGTTAAGAAATTCTCCGATATGTGTGAGCATCAAGCCTCTGTTCTGTTCCGCCAGCTGAGCCTTCCTTATTGGTGAAGCAACTGCTGCAAAGCTTTGAACAGGGAAATGTTGATTGAAGGGTATGGGAAAGATGCCAGTTTGGTACAGAGAAAGAAAATAGGGGCAACAAAGATGGATACATCAATGAGAAAGAGAGAAGTCAAAGAAAAACAAACGTTGATGGTGAGGCTGGAAAAGAGTGAACAAAAGACTGCGTGAAAATGAGCTCATAGAATGTGCCCATCTGGAGGGTTGGGAAGGGTAATGAATCACTTAATGAAACAAATTACTATCTCCACAATCTGATCTAGTTTCATCAACCACATGTAATACTGGGAGAAACATGATGTGTTATGTGTCATGAACTACCTATTGTGGATGAATTGTAGGACATTTACAGCATGGTAGTATGTCTTTCTGCCCATCATACTAACTGGTGTTAGCTCCCCCAATGGAGCGAGCAACCATAATTCATTTCTCATCTTTCAATATTATTTTATCGCGAATATTTATTGAGTTCCATTTGAAAAGCTTTTATGTATCCAGCTTTAATAGTTATTTATGAAAAGCTGTTCCACATTCTAACAACTCTCTATGTATATGTGAAACAAAAACTTTGGATTTTTCTTCTGGAAATAATCTCAATTTAAAACTTCTTGTTCTAACCAAAACCATTCACATTTTGAATGCTTCTACTTGTATTAATTATCCCTTAATTGTGGAACTAGCTATTCAAGAGAACATGACCCTAAGTAAAAATATTGGGAGTAAACATGCAATTGTTGAGAAAACGGAAAGGGTTTCATCACTGGAAGACCCTTGGAAGTTTAAGTGGGACTCCTACAATAAATCCAGCATATTTTCCGTTGACATGCACATCCAAATTCATACTGCGGTTGATTGATTGGCGTTGGATACCTGAGGTTCCTTTGTAGGAATTTCACTGTAAATCCCAAGGCACATTCTGTTGGGTTGATTTATCATTTTGTTTTTCCAAAAAAATCTGTTGTGAACTGTTACTTTGAGCGCAGGAATGAAACGTAACTCAACATTTATTTCATTGTGTTGATATTGCTCCTAGAAATGGAATTTTATCTCTTTAGCAGACTATAACAGGATATGTCTGAAAGTTACTTCTCTGATCTTATTTTGTTCCATTTAGATGAACCCATTTAGATTTCTTTAAATGGTTTCTGTGATCAAGAGTAGTGTTAAAATGCCTGTTAACCATATGTTCATTCTCAAGCACCTCCCAAACCCACTTTCAATCTCACTCTAAGGCAACCTTTTAATTTCTCTTTGTCAATATTTTGTTCAATTGATTGCTGGCGGAACGTAACACAAAAAGTACATTTTAAGAGCTAAATAAAAAAGGTTTTTAGTGGATTGCCATCATTTATCCAAAATGACTCCCAGGAGAATTGTAGAATGGAATTCTATCTCTGTGTTCACATTAATCCATTTGAAATGGACACTCATTTAAAGTGGAATGAATTTTATCTATTTACAGTGATGTGTTTTGCATGGCTTTTAGTTAGAAAGAAACTTTGATTTATGTAATGCATGTTAGATAACACTAAGATGTTAAATAGAGGTAATGATAGCAAATGGGAAATGGAGAAAAGGCAGGGATTTTAAAAAATTTGGTCAACCAATGGCTGACATATGTGTAAACCAAAGGTAGTGGATTTTCATCCAAGGGTTAGTGGAAATCTGGAACTCTTTCCCCAAAAAGGCTGTGGATGCTGAATCCATTGACATTTTCAAAATGGAGGTAGATAAATATTTGTGAGGTCAGAGTATTAAGTGGTACGCGGCAAGGGTGGGTAACTGGACTTGAGGTATAGATAAGACATCTTATAAAATGTTGGAACAGGCTCGAGGGGCTAAATAGCCTACTCCTGTTTCTATGTCTATGTATCTATGTAAAGCCTTCACTATCCTTGGGAGCATTCAAATTAGACAGTCTTACATATGCATACCAACTATGAAATCCAAATGATCTGTTGTTGTGATCTAATAAAATGGTGGAATGAGGTTTCCATGTTCCTAAGCGTGACTCCAGCTTTTTTTTAGTGATTTAAATAAAAGTAGAAATGTGCTGTTTATGTGAGATGCTCTCCTGGTGTAATTCAGTTTTATGTATTTATAATAGTGTTAAGAAAAGCTGTTGTTCCTGATTATGATTGCTTTATATGAATCAGTGCACACACTTTGTTTGGAGCTCAACTATTAAAGAATGGAGTGCCACAGATATATGCAGTAAATTAACGATGGGATAGTATATTGCAGCTTTTATTGTATTGCACAACAGACACTTGTAGAAAGTGTAAAATTAGGGCACAGAAAATGAACAGTGGAGTTTCAGTCTGCCCGTTTCTGATCCTACTTCCAGAGTAGGGATGCAGTTTTTGTGTTGTGTAAATTTTCATGAAGTCTTGCCTCATTGATAATTCTTCCTTGCAATAATTATTTTTAACAGGTATGATTGGTCATTAATATGAAATTCTAATTTTATTGAGATCATGTTGCCTTCCAATGAAATATATCAGCCTCTTTCTCCTGTGTTTTCTCTCCTTTCACATAACCAAAATATTATTTTCTCACGAGGGCTCATTGACTTCTATTCCATTTTGGGGGATTTAATGCGCTTAGTGATATTTTTCCCCTTTTATTTAATCAGTTCTTTCTTGGCTTGTTATCAATGGTACCTGAGTCAGGAGGCACAAGTAAGATGTATAGAGTTACAAAATTTCTGAATGTTGTTGTCATTGATTTTGACTCGGTGAGCAACACCATACTTAAACTGGATGACTTAGTTGTCTTGTTTTTTAATGTATTGGCGGTGGCAAAACGGTATGATTAAACAAAACCAAAATATTGAGTTAAATATGTCTGTAAATTTACTAATTTTTGGATTGATGTTTCAACATATATGGACTACGATGATCTTTTCCAGACCTGTAGGTTTCTAAACTTGGTTTAAATTTCAGTAAAACAGACATGAACAAGTTTGATGATCTGTATTTCTGATAGCAAGACTTGATGAGGCAAGATTTGCACAATTTGCCCTTGAACCTCGGGGTACATTCATTGCTGCTAAGGTAAAGGAGGATCTGGTTACAGAAGCTGTAGCCACATGTGTGTCTCATATTGTGGCAAACAATGGGATTAATTCTCTTTCCGAACAACCTAACTTGCATTTGTCAAATGAAAATTAGTCACTAAAGTGTCATGTTTGCGTTCATTTTAGATGGTAAGGTATTAAATGGATGTGCAAATACAAAGGCTTATTGTCTCAGTTGACAGCAGTGCTGTATTGTTAGAGGTGCCATCTTTTGTGAAACGCATTGGTCAGATATGGTTGAGGTGGACATTGAACTATGAGAACAGGAAATTATCCAGTACTTTTAGCCAAATTTACCAACTCCACCCTCCTCATCTCCACACAGAATTAATTTGGTCAATAGTCTCATTGCTGTTTGTGGGAATTATTGGGACAGATATACATTTGCCTGCATAAAAGCAGACACATTTGAAACAAGCTTGTGGGATCTTTAAAATTCATCCAATAGAATAAGCACTCAGGACTTCGATTTGATGATTTGTACAGAAGCATTGTATCTTGACCATACAGCACTGTGAAGTGCTCTACTGGAGTTTCAGCCCAGAGTTTGAACTCCAGTATCAGTGAAGGGGTTAAATCCACAACCTTCTGAATGGGATAAGCCTGTGAATAACTGAACCAATCTATTAAAATTGTGTTTTTGCCTTTTGTGTTTGAAGTCTGTATTATACTTTTGAAGAACTGTAAATTAATCCTCAACAATTATTTTCCTCCACAGAGAAAGCAATATCACCTAAATCTAGTACGTTAAAAAGTCCTCCAAAAGGATTTGATACTCCTGCCATTAGCAAAAGTTACTACAATGTGGTGAGTAACACTTTCCATTTCAAGCAGATTTAATTATGAGCCTGGACATTTTAACAACATTTTCTTGTGTGCTTGGCAAGCTGCATATTTCTCTTTGATATAATATGGATTTATAATGTTGAAGATTTCACTGCTGTCCTTTGGCAGTCTGAAAAATTAGTTTTGAACTTTCTTAGTAAACTTCATTAAGTTTTGGTTTTAAAATGTCCTTGGGTATGATCTACGACTATAAAGGATAACTGCAAAAATAATTTGTGTTTGGCATTCAATATGTTGAAATAACTGAAGTAAGGTATGTCCTGATCTGAAAAAAAAATCCTTTTTCAGAAATAAAATAATCCATCATAGTTGAAGACTGGAGGAGATCATTCCCTTAACTTGCTTGAACATCATGTCGAGAACTCATTGCCTTATCCTCCAACAAACCATTTTTCTCTTCCTTTTATCTTGAGGCGCTGTTTCAATGAGAATATAAAATAACTACCAAATAACTGGCTGGTCAGGTATAATGACACCTTCTAAAGAGGATCTAATTATTACATGTAAATCTTGCTGATGCTGTCCTAATTTGTAGCCAGCATGAACAAAGGAATGAAGAAGGAGCCTGCCACTTAGTAATCTGGTACAAGGAAAATTAAATTGGCAATGCTCTGAATTTTGGGTTGATATGTTGGTTCTACCAGGTGGCGTTTCATCCAGTGCTGAAGTGCATGTGGAACATGACAGCTAACCAAGATCAGAAAAGGAGCAGTAAAATAAATAATTATGAAATCAAACCCAGTTTCACTTTATTCTACTTTAGCAATTTCTCCCCTGTTCCCCAAGTGTCATTATCTGGTGTCTCACTCTCCCCAGTGACCTAAAGTCTACTTCTCCAGGAATAGTAATCCTTGCATTTGATATGGTACCTATTAACATTGCAGTTTCTCTAAGTGCCTTACAGGCAAATCATTTCAAATGCAGTATCGTATTTTGTATATTAAATTCAGTCCCTGTAACCCCTATTTCCAACATTTCACACTGTGGCAATGATTCATGTGCTGTTAGTGTTGAGTAATTGACCTCTTACTAATGTCAGTTTTCTTGGGCAGTTCTTATGTATCATGCTCAGCCCTATTTTTAAAAAAAAGTCTCTCCAGCCTGATCATTCCAGTTCTTATGAGTCATACCTGAAAGTTTGATTACCATCTGCCTTTCTGCCCCCACTCACTGGAGCTCCATCCTGAAGTTCCTCTTCCTCACCCCCTTTCCTTGCTTCCTGCAAGGACCGTCTCAAGTTCTTTATCTTTGACCACACCTGTGGCCATCTTCCCCTCCCCACCCTCATCCCTCTTGGCCCCCATCCTTCCTGAATCCAACCACCAGCTAGGGTGCTCAACCGTCCAGTGCCTTGGAATCATCTTCCGACGTGAAAGACACTATATAAATGCAACTTGTTGTTTATTTCCCTTTCAGACTCCTATGCATTTCTAGCATATTTTTAATTTTCATTTGTTGTTTTTCTTTCCACTTTGTATTTAGGCTGTAATGGAGTCAAAAGTGCTTTATTAGTCATGAATTTCAACCATTGTTGGTGTTGACCCGACTGATCTATCTCAAACATTACTTTCCAGCAAATAAATTGCACTGGTATGGCCTCAAGTCATGGCTATTCCACCTGCAATGTAGCTGGAAACTGCAGGAAGTATAATGAATATTCTGCATTAGAATTAAGGGAGCTGATGGAACATTATTTTGTCTGCAATGTCTCTTGGGAGCGGGAGAGGGGTGAATAGCTAAGTATAGCTCTAGTCCGCATAGTGGTGCACTAATATCTTTAAATATAATATATATATATTTAAAATATATATAAATAAATTGGAACATTGATGTTTTAAAGTTTGTTGCATTTAGTTTGTGCTATACAGATGCAAAATAGTGCACAGTATTCAGAATAAGCAAAGTGGAGCAACAACAACAAGATTTCATTTATAGAGCGCCTTTCACGTCGGGAGGACGTCCCAAGGCTCTGGACAGTTGGGTCGGGACCCGAGCAGGGGGGAAATGGTCAGGGTGAGGGGAGGGAGCGAGGAGGGGGTAGAGAGTCGAGAGGGGAGCTGAAGGCACGGTTGAAGAGAAAGGTCTTGAGACTGGCCTTGAAGGAGGAAAGGTAGGAAGCAAGGCGAAACAAAACAATAGTTTCAGTAGCAGGTCAAATTTAAATTAAAGATTTGTCATTGAATTTGTTTTGGAAAAATAGTATGTGGCTAACTATTTTCAATGAGGGTTATATATTTGGAATGGCTATATTGATCTGAGTGGTGTCATGTTAGCTCCGCCTGTCTGCAAGCTAGTGAGGTTTGCTACTTATGTAGGTCATTCAATCCCTTTTTTTGGGTGGCAGTTTTGCCTTAGGCCTGCATTCTGGATTGTTTTTGTAATAGTGCTGTCTGATATAGTTTGAGGTTTCACATGCTATGAGGACCTTCATAGGATACCAGATGCAATGGGTTTTGTGAAATTTATTGGTGTCATGGATTATAAAGACTCTGTCAGTTACATGGATAACTGGAAAATATGTTGAAGCATGCGATTATTGTGGTGGAATTTTGATGGAGATTTATGATGTCTCATGGGTTCCTGCAGCAGTCTGAGTGTGAGGAAGATGGTGAAACAAAATGAGGTGATTACTATAGCACAAATATTTGAAAGATGTGAGTAAAGATAACAAAGGCTTCTGCAGCTTCCTGAATCAAGACAGAATTGCAAAATTATAAAGTAAATTTACTCAGTTTGACTTCAACAGGAAGCTTTTTGGGGGGAATTCTGTGAATAGTTTGTCACTTTTATTTAGGATGCCTTACATATATTGTGGAAATGAATACAAGATGGTAAAGAAATCAAATGTTCTGAGTTGTTGCCTTTACAAGTAGATGGTAAAAGATAATTTGGAATAAAGGTTGTACTTTTTTGATTAAAAGAAATGTGATAATTAAATATATATTTTAAAGGCCAAAAATATTAGGGAATGATAAATAAATTAATACGCTGTGCTACAAACTAGTGTCATCCTCTTGGATTCAATACTTTTTTGATGTTTTATTTTTTATATGCTAAATAAATATGGGTATTAGATTAAACAATAAATAAAATAGTCACTCTTTTGTATTATAAAATAGGAGGAATAGTCCATCCTACCCCTTTCTCAAATTGCTTTACATTTATTGTACTTATTTTTTGTCTGTAAGGTAGGTCATTTCAATATGCAGAAATCGCATCTAACTTTTTCAGTAGTGCTTGTAGTTAACCCCTTAGGAGGTGTATTTGATTAATACAGGAAGACTTCTGTCATGCATCTGAACAGAGGCCAAGTATTTTCCCGCTGGAAGGGAAACCTGGAATTTAAGAGCTGGGATAACCCAAGGCCATTTGGCCGCTGAAGTTTATCCCTCGAGAATATTAAATCTTTCCTTGTGGCATTGAATTTAATTTTAAACTCAACAATGTTTTTGCCTTTTTCTGATCAACCGGGTGTCAGATACATATACAAATCCACCACAGTGCTTGAAAGTATTCAAACGAGTCTAAGAGTTCCATTTATGTAGGGAAATTTCCTTTTAATAATAATCATAATAATCCTTGCACATGCTATAGTGGCTTCATGTTGAGAAGTGTCAACGCAATAACAAAACAAATTAAATTTATACAGTGCCTTTCACATCTGAGGACATCCCAATGCACTTTGCTTGATTTTCTGTAAAGTGTAGTGACTGAGTATTTTGTATGAAAAACTGGCAGCCAATTTACTCACAGCAAAATTCCACAAACGATTATTACGTGAATGACCAATTCCATTTGGGGGATTATATGCAATGACATTGAGAGAAGATTCCTTTCTCATTTCGAGAAATGCCATGAGAATTAGCATCCACCAAAGAGGCTGATGGACCTTGGTTTAACCTGTTATCTGAAAGATAGCACCTCCAACAATGCAGTGCTCCTCCAGCACTCAGAGCCTCGACTCTGATTTCAAAGTCCTGATGTTGGGCTAAACACCTTCTGACACAGAGGGGAGAATGCTACTAACCTAGTCAAGCTTACACCTTTGTCTGAAATGTGGTGTGCATTCTTTTCCTGGAGGGACACACCCTACTTGCCTAAAACTGGAAAGTATACTGCAGCCCGACTATTGCACACTTCACTATAAGATTCCGATATTGAAATATGATTGAAATATGGACCCTGAAATGTTCCAACTTGAGCATTGTAAATTGCGACGTCACACTGTCCAAATTGTCCTCATTGATGTGCTGAAAAGAGGGTGACCTATTCGGAAGTGATGATGTTCCACTCTGAATGGCTTGTTACTAATTTTAAAGTGGACTTCAAATCCTGCCGTCGCCTGCACATCGAGTAAACCTGCTGGCTTTCCTCATGGTGACATTACTGGACATGTGATCGATGATGTCAATACACAGTTTGGGATTTTATGGATCTCAAGTCCTGTCTACTCCGCAGGGCAGCCCTGTATTTGGCATTGGTTGGCAAGAGCCAAGGCTTGGAGATTCCTGAGTTTGCATTAGGGGTACTGCAGGAGTTAACCAGCTAAAAATGCAGCTTGCCATTGTGAGCATTTTCTGGAAAGCTTCCTGCTGCTTATCCAACAAGGACCACCCTACTCATGAGGCTTTGACTTGCATGGTTAATGGGCGCTGAGTGGGAAGATTCCCAGTATATTTTGCCAAGTCCTGCTGAGAAGCACAAAATATAAGGTACAAAATGAGAAAATGCAAAGGAGGATAGAAAAGGGAGTAATAAAGAAAATGTATGGGAACAAGAGTACTGTATATAAATTTCCGCAATATGGCTTTTTGTGATGAAAGAACAATAAGAGAATAGTTACTGTAAAACTAATGGATGTATTATTAAATTGGGATTATCTTTTGGATAAGAATAAAGAAGAGTTTGATTACTATTGTTGGGTGGGGAGGGGGCAATGCTTCACAGTCAAGTGCTCTGGTTCACTCTGCATCAGAATCTTCACTCTGCCTCCGTGCTGCATTAAAGGTTGTCCCAAGGCCAAACCTTCTGGTTCCCTTTAATGAATCTGAATCCTCTTTCTATCACAATCAGTGTCAATGCTGAATGGTGGAAACTTATTTATAACAATAATCAAAACGTTAAAGGAGAAACTGTTCCATTACATTTTATTTTAGATCCGTTGTTCATATCAGAAAACACATTTATAAAGATCTCAGGGGGAGGATAAATTACATGTCATTTTAAATCAATATGATTTTACACCAAAAGCTTCAAAGAGTTGTTAAATTTGTATTCCTGCTTAAAACACCTGAGCCTACATCTGTAATCTGCTTTGCCTCTGGCTACAAAATGGCCATGATGTGTTAGAATCATAATAAACAGGAGCTGTCTTGTTCGTTACTAATTGTGTATCATTCCGTAGATCATAGTTCTAGACTACAGACGTTCCATGGAGATAAATTTTCAGATAAAGATATTTTTAAAATTTAATATTAATTTAGGCCAGTATTGTTTTTCCAGAAATGGGTCTGATCACATTGTAAAGATTACAATATTTGCTACATGTTTATTGTATTGGATCATATAAAAGTTTCAATGTTCCAACAACTACATTGAATATTTAAGGATAGTTACTTATTTTTACAATTTCCAAAGTATCTTAGTATTCTAAAGAAGGCCCTTTTATGCGCAGGTATTTAAGATTTGATACCACTAAATATTTAGCAGATGTAGCATTAAATGTAAAAAAAAATCCATTCCTTCCACTCCAATCCAATACCTTTCCAGAATCTACATCAATTACGTTGTGAAAAAAGTCCTGGATTCCCAAAAGTAATTTAGCAGAAGTAGAATGTCCCACATCTCTATTCTCAAAAAAAACTCCATCCCCTATTCCTAATGCACTATATATTCAGTTCCTTTCTGAACAAGATTACAGGATTGCTTTGGAAAAAGAGAAACCTTCAGCCTATCTTGTCACATCCCCAGAAAACGCATCCCACTATCAAAGCATCAAGCTGCTGTTTACCTAAGTCCATCTTTGTTGTCTGTAACTTCCCTTCCTGGCAACCTGTTCCAATCATTAATTGCACTCTGAATAAAGAAATCTCAGCAAAGCATTGAAGCACTTCCTTTTGGTAGGACTCTGTTTCACCCATTGTTCCATGAGAGCACTAGGTGTTTATTGTAATCTCTGGTCTTGCTTAAGGTTTGTTAATTTTAAAACAAGTTCTGTGCTAAATATCCAAGTCAAATTGTCTGCCTACACCTTTGATTCATCTATGACTCTCAGCATTTTAAAATCTTGGATTGTGTCACTTCTTGGATCTCTTCTCAAATAAAAGTATGTTCTGCTCTCCTAGCACATTTTCAACATAACGTAAGAGACCCAAATCTCATTGAACCTTGCTTCCCTTCCAAATTCAATTCATATATTAACGTGTTCCTGAAGGTAAGATGCCTATTATTGTATATTGTTTTCTTGTGCTTTAATGCACATCAGTACTTTCGCTCCTCAGATTTTATTTGATCCAGAAAATTTCAAACACTTTTCACCTTATTTACAATTGAGTTTATCTGCTTGATTGGAAAGTTTGTTTGCTGGGGTAGTTTTATAAATGATTTTTTAAAAATCTTTTGCTGCATGTTGTGATTGTTAATTTGTATTTTTATACATACTGCATTCCAGTGATTTCAGACAGAAAGCTGATTATTGTGAGTCTTGGGCAAAGAGCGAAGTCTTCTATGAAATGCCTGACTTCCCAATATCTTACAATGTGAAGTCAAGGATCATTTTTACAATCTATATTTTTTATGGAACAAAATATATATTGTTTTAAATAAAAAATGGTAAAAGGAGGGTTTTGTGTTGAACAAAAGGCAAACTACTGCAGATGCTGGAAATCTGATATAAACACAGAAGTCGCTGGAAACATGCAGCAGGTCAAACAGCATCCATGAAGAGAGGAAAATTAGTTAACGGTTCAGGTCTATGACCTTTCATCAGAACCTGACGAAAGGTTATAGACCTGAAATGTTAACTAATTTTCCTCTCTCCATGGATGCTGCCTGATCTGGTCTTGATAAGCTATATAGAACATTAAACCTTATTGAATCAAAACTTTTTCTGTAACTTGTGTGATTTTTGACTTAACAGTGGTAATGTTAGTGCTAATTGTTGTTTTACCAGTCCTTTTTTAAATGTGTTTTGGTTCAGCATTCTTGACTGACAGAAACCCTCTTGGTTAGGAACCTCCTCAGAAATGTAGCTTCAGGGTTGTATGCACAAGTATGGAATGGATTTAGATAGAGACTAAGACAGTTGATTGTTTGGGTGAATACAGATTCTGCTTCTTTATGAATAGGAGAGTACTTTCAGTTAATTTGCTCGCCAAAAATGTTACGATTTACAAAATGAGCTCTGTTGTAAACTGCCAAAGATTCCTTTATTATATCTTGGTATTGGTTTTCTTTCAGTATTTTAGACGTACAAAATGAAGACATTTTTTAAACATAAGGGTTCAAATAGAATTTGAACAGTGAATGAACTGAATAAAAATGGTCTGTTAATTTTTCAAGTGAATACAGCTATTCATTAGCTGAAATAATGTGTAGTGTGTCTGTGGTAAAGGAAGCTTGATTTTTTTTTATTTTGAGTAATCCAGAGTCTATTTCAACTGCCTTTAGTTGTGAAAGGCTGTTTGTATTGGTATGACTGGGTTGATCTTTTAAAGTGAACTGCACCAAATAAGTAAATGTGTGTAGTCACCTGTGCCACATAACACTGGTGCAACATTCCTGCAATTGCCTTTTTAAGAAAACCAAAAGATGCATGTGCAGCCCGAGGTCATATAGATTAGGGTAGGTTTTGTCGTGAACATATAGTTGGTCCATATTTTGAATGAAATAATCCCACTTCTTGTCCAAGCCCCTCTCTCCCCAAACTAGAGGAAGGGGAATAAAGTTGGATCCCAATAACCAGTTCAGGATTGCTGTCTGCTTCCATTTGAATAGGAAATAGTGCCTCGGGACGTCCTCCTGATATGAAAGGTGCAATATAAATGCAAATTGTTTTTTGTGGCAGTAAAGGTAAACCTTAAGCAAATTTGTTTTCTCTCCATGAATGTAACACCTTAAAGAAATAAAGAAGTTTTATCAATTTTATACCATTACCAGTTATCAAGCTGATGTTTTTAATAAGTATAATGTGTTAAGAGTGATTCTCGAGTGTTGTGAGTGCGATTTCAGTAAAGCATGATGGAAGAGGTGTGAAGAGCTGCACTGCAGGGATTTATTTTGTGCAGTGTTCAGTAAAGCTTCACAGTGAACACTGTAACATGTTCATACCTCAGTATGTAATCTTGAGGTCTGGAAATGCCCAGTATCTGCCTGTTGAGATGGAGGTTAAAGATCCCATAGCACTATTTGAAACAAGAAGGGAGTTTCTCCTGGTGGCCTGGCCAACAATCTTCCAAATACAAAATTGGTCATTCATTTCATGACTATTTTTGGGACATTATATTACTGTGTACAGAATGACTATTGTGTATGTTTCAAAATACAGTCACTATACTTTAAACTAAATCCTATGAATTGCTTTGAGATCTCCTCCTGACAGGAGCTACATCAAATATTATTATGAATGCAAGTAGTTATTTATATCAATGTTGTTTGTTCTACAGGTGCTACAGAATATTTTAGAAACAGAGTCTGAATATGCTAAGGAACTTCAGATACTTCTGTCAACCTATCTGCGTCCTCTGCAAGCTAGTGAAAAGTAAGGAATGCTTAATCACATTAAGCCTGCATTACATTTTAAGTTTTGGTTGTACTGAATTTAAACTATTTGGGATAGGGTGGAGGGTTGCTCTTTTAAATGTGAGAATATATGTGATAACTAGGAGTCAGATGAAGAAAGATAAATGAACATTTAAAGAGGTTGGAATAGGAGATTCACCTCGCTTGAGTGTCAAGCCAGGACTGTTGAGTGCCTTAGGACGCCCTCCTGACATGAAAGACCGATATAAATGTAAATTTGTATTGTATTTTTATTGAGATAAAAAACAACTAAAGCTAAAGTAAAACTGAAAATAGAAGGAGAAAATCAACAACTAGGCGAGCACAGTTGAAATTTTAAAATGTAGGTTTTTATTTCAATTTAGGGTTAATATTACAGGAGTATAGCTATCCTGATATTTGAGAAACTATTACTGTAATTAGTGGGAGGGTTTTCAGTGTGATGTGAAAACCTACAGAACAGGTTAGCCCATTGGGAGAGGAGGTTTTGTAGACCTGTCATGAATCTCACGGTCAACAATGCACCTTTTAGGGAGGATCCTTTAGGTTGAACCAGCTCGAGATTAATAGCGAGGCAGTTCATTAGTGAGCAGCACATCCTCTGAGTTGCTGTACTTGTCAGTTTCTGTTCAGATTATTCTGTTTTACTCAAATTGAAATTTGAATTTTAACCTTCTGTGTATTTGTATTAGACTGCTTATGTTCATTAGTTTTTCCTGAGTCTTTGTAGAATTATTTTTCAAAGTAAATTATAGGATCTAAATCATGGATTGTAAATTATATAAAATGGGTACATTTGTGCAGTTGGACCCTGTTATAAACTGTTATAAACTGACCCAGGGTATAACAGGGTTCAACCTATATAATTGGACAGTTTATAATGTGGTTGTATGGTGACTAGAAGTACGGTTCACTTCTGGTGTATAGCAGATATGTGCAGGCCTCTTGCCATCTGAGAAACCAATGGAAACTCTTGCGAGAATGGTTGCCAGCTTCCTGGGTGCTGAACACAGCAACTTCAGTAGCAATGTCATCGGCTACCTGGTGATGCAGAAGTGCGTATCGGTGGCAGCTCCAACACTGGGTCTGATTTTATGGACTCAAACCCCTCAAACCCCTGTATTATAACTGGGTCCAACTGCAAATACAGAAATCATTAAGTAATATCTTATGTTTTATTGTTTTCAGGTTAGGTTCCACTGATATGGCATATCTGATGGGAAATCTGGAGGATATCTGTTCTTTCCAGCAGATCCTTGTTCAGTCTCTAGAAGAATGTGCCAAGTGAGTATTGGAAAGGGAATTTGGGGAGAAAACGATCGAGGTATTTATTTCTGTGGAACTTTACCAATTTTTTAAATTCTTTTAGAGAGGGTGTTTTAAAAAAAATTAGAGACAGCATGTCAATTGGTAATAAAACAACAACTAATAAATGAATAATATTTCAACAACAAGATTACATTTGTATAGCGCCTTTCATGTTGGGAGGACGTCCCAAGGCGCTGGATAGTGTACAGCATTTCATAAATGAACAATTTTACACTGAGCGTATGCTCACACCATTGATGCTGTACAGACATCCATCACAAAAGACATTTGTAGCCAGAGAGGTTTTCATCTCAATAAATTGAGATGGATTGGAAACAGAATCCTTAAGAGAAAAGTCTGTCTCTATATCATGCACAATTGTTCAATGTAATAGCAGTTGTTAAAATGAGAATTATAGGCCAATTCAAGCAAACTGTGTCAGATTGATGTGGATGCATATTGGTCTCAGCACTAGTCAGTGAATCTCTTAGTTTGCGGTGTTTTGCAGTTCATTTGTCATACCTAGTCATGCTTATTGAATCAGCAATACACTTTTCCCTTGTGCTTATTTTATTACCTACCATAAAGTATGCCCACTGAATGCTGGAAACTTAAAATCACATATTCTCCAATAGCTGTCAAGATACACCAGACGCCTCTTATAAAATACCTTGATGCTGGTGATCAGTATGGTTCCAGCATATAATGAGAAGCTTTTCAATTATGATCCCTCCAAAAATGATTACAAAATGAAACCAGCTATTAAAAGAACTCAAACTAGTATCTCTAAGAATGTTTCTGAATTCTGTTTATTTACCTGCCTCATGTTGAAGTGTTTTTATTTTGGGTTAATTCTTTGTACTGCGGTTGACAGAAAATGCTTACTTACTCACTGCTGCGGGTTCTTAGTATTCCAGAATAAGCAGAGCTCCACCTTGAGGCGAACAGCAAGATCTTGGGGATTAGTACTGAAGCTAATGTTTTATTGTTAAACTTTATAAACCTGTCTTAATTCCTATCACCAACGTTGGAAAAGTAGGTTCCTAATCTAATCAGATCAGCCTACGGTTTTCTGGTGCATTCCCTCCCATCCACTCCAAGATGGTCTGCTGTGGCTTTTAAAGCCTTTCTGAGCATTCCGTTTTGTTTTGATCTGATGTGGCATTAAAATTGCAAACCTACTAGAAAATTTTATTTTAAAATTATTTTTCATTTTTATTTTCTAGCTACAAGTTTTAGAATGTTTTTTCTCAGTAAATTATTAACTTATTTGCTTTCATTGATTGCTGTAAAGCATGCACATCTCTCAATTGTAGAATGGAGGAGGAGTGCCAATGGTCCAATTTACTCTGAAACTTTGAGTGAAAATTGGCATATTTTACCAGTAATTTGTAATAAGTTTAATATAACTTCATTTGCATAGCACCTCTCACATAAATGAAATTTATTGAAGGACATTACAGAATGAGATTAACTAGAAATTAAATTAATAGTATGAAGTTAAACACAGAAGTTAATTTATACAATAAAGCATTACATTTGTAATACGTCTTTCACATCGGGAGGATGTCCCAAGGCGCTGGACAGTCGATTTTTTTTTAGTAACAAATTATTGATTAGTCGCATCACCAAGCAGCAACCTGCTTAAAAAAAGTTACAATGCCAGTTAACACAAAAGTATGTTTTTTTTAAACAAATAATAATAATAATAATCCTTGCATTTGATATAGCGCTTTTCACGTCGGGAGGACGTCCCAAAGCGCTTCACAGAACACACTGTAAAGTGAATTGACTGTATATTTGTGGGCGAACGCGGAAGCCAATTGCGCACAGCAATGTCCCACAAACAGTCGTAGATTGAAAATGACCAATTTATTATTGTTTTTGGTTTTGGAGGGATTATTATTAGACGTGTGGAGTAAGGAAACTTGCCCAAGGTTTTGCCCTGCCTGGAGTTGAACTCAGGTCTCTCGCTTGCAAAGCGAGTGCTCTAACCACTGAGCTACAGGACTCTACAACACTTTAGATTCACAATAATTTGATGTGATTTCTTTGGAATGTTAAATTCAAAAGAAACTTGCATATAGTTTGAAGGTGTAGATCCATTAAGTGTCAATTGATTATGTAAGAGTTCAGTAAGTCCATCAAAACCATTGCACAGAAGACTAATGCATCCCATTTATGGTGTATCTTTGTTTCTTTACTTGAACAGATTACCCGAGACACAGCAGAAAGTTGGTGGATGTTTTGTCAATTTAATGTTACAAATGAAAAGCCTGTATGTTACATACTGTCTTAATCATCCCTTGGGTGTGAATCTTCTTACAGAACATAGGTACGTAATTCTTGACTGTTAAGAAATATATGCACTGTTGGTTCTGTTTGGAACAAACCACAATGTAAAATAAGCTATGAATAGTTGTGTGGTCTGACTTTATTTTGTTGAGTGGTTGTGTTCCCAGAATATTTAAGTGCCATTTATGGTTAATATAACACAATGTGTTTTTGTGACTGCTATCAGTCCGGTCAAGGACTGGATAAAAGGTTTAAAGCAGTGTTGAGGGTTGACCGAAACTCTCCACGCAGGCTTCATGAGTTAGGAGTAAACGGGAAGGTTGATAGGATCAGCACCTGAAATGAGGAGATGCCGACGGAAATCAAGCAAAATTGATTATTGCGGGACTATTGCAAATTGCAATATTAAACTGATACCTTGCTGGTTTTGGAAAAAAAGGGAATTTTTTTTTTGGGGGGTGGGGTGTGGAAAACGTTACTTTTTATGAGGCTGTGTTGCCTGAATATTTTAAGCATCTGTTTTGGTCAATCCAGTATTTGTTTGTGATCTGGGTTATTTACTTCTGAGACGTTTAATCAGAGTGAATTACGTACAAATTTGACTCTGTTTACAATCACATCTCTTTTGACAAAAAAGTTCCTCCAATTTGTTTTTAAGTAGATTTAACTGCATGTTCAGGCACTGCGAGCTAAATGAAATTCGACTGTGGTTTCAGTGATTCCTCATATTATTCAAAATAAAATGACTTCATTTTATAGCCTTGTGCTAAATTTGTTAAAATTGCTTTGGTTTGAAGATTGTTGAAGATTGGTTGTTGATGAGGAACAAATGTTTAAATATTACAACTGGTCCATTGGAAACAATGTTTGTGTAAATAATGTCTCCAGTTGTGGCAGGAAAACTGAGCTATTGGTAAAGCAATTTTGTACTTATCTGTTTTATAATTTATGAACCTAGAAGATGATATCCTGAAACACCAGGAACTATAAAATGAAATCCCCTAAAAAGTAACCACAAACAGGGTCAAGATTTGGGGAAGGCATTTGGAAATCAATGAGTTTTTTTAAAAAAAAATGTCTTGTTGATCTTTGGTATTCATGGCAAAGACTGCTCATATGATGCAACACAGCAGACTTCTGTGGTATTTAATGGATGTAAATAGTTGTAACCCCCTCACTGGTAAAAACTGAAAGAACCTTTTATTTTGTGTCTGAATTTTGTTTTTCTCTCATTTTAATGCAATATTATTCGGTTACCCATCAGTCAAGTATTAAAAGCTGCTGGGTTGTCCTTTGCTGACAAACTGGATACAGTTATTTAATTTTCTGTTTCAAATAAATTGGTTGCCCTACTGAGCATGAAGATGGTTAATTATGGCATTCAATATGGTTGTTCACATTCTGTTCTTTAAAAGGTTAGCACTGCTGACAACTAAATGATGTATGCAAGTGTATTTATTTTGTTTTATTAATTTTTCTCAATTGAAATCTTGGGTGAAGTTCATGGTCCATAGTGCAGTACACCACCAAAGTTGAAGAGAGTATCAGGGAGAGAAAATATAGTTATGTAGTATCTGCATTGCTTTAAACAATTGTTGATTTGTGTGAGAAAAGGCAGAGGAAATTAAGGAGTTCCACAGTGTATGGTGTTAGCCTGTGAAAGCAAGGAGTTCCACAGTGTATAGTGTTCGTCTGTGAAAGTAAAGAGTTCCACGCCAGTGGTTCTTTTCCCTCCTCCCTCTCTCCCCTGCTACTGACCCTGCAATTGTAAAGTGTTCCAATGTAAAAATGTTATTGGTTTGTTATCTTGAAGCCCTGGAAACAAACAAAGCAAAGTCGGATTTTGGCTGGTTCGTTTGCGAAGTGAGGCAGTAGGCACGAGAAACAAGAGAGGAAAATCTGAATGTCTGATAAGTATGGTACTCATAAAATGCAAAAGGTACCACCAACAGAAAAAGGATGCAGACCAGAAGTGGATCACCAATTGGATGACAAACCTGTTCTTGAATTCTGTTCAGACGTTCAAAACATGGCAAATTTTCAATATACATAAATGTAAGATGCTACAGAATGAAAATAAAATACTGTATAGATTTGATAGAACTCGCCAAGAGTGAACTTGAAAGTGATCTTGGATTTTGGGTGACTCATCACTCCACTGCTGACATAGTGGTAAAAATAAAATAAATAGTATTAGGGGTAAATAGTACTAAAGCAATGAGAATGGAGAAAGAGCAGAAAAATGGGAAAGAGTAGATAGGTCCATGAGGGAGCAAGCACAATAAGTAATATAGTAATTCTTGCATTCGATATAGCATCTTATCACATCTTCTAGACGTCTCAAAGTTCTTCACAGAATATACTGTAAGGTGAATCAACTGTATATTTTGTAGGTGAAATGTGGCAACCAATTGCACACAGCAGTGTCCCACAAACAATCGTGGATTGAAGTGACCAATTTTATTAGTATCATTTTTTTGAGGGAAGTACAAACTGAATGGCCTTCTGTGCTGACATTCCCATTGTATTTTTTTTTAAAAATGCTTAAAAGATGTAGTCTGGAGCTAGCATGTTCCTTAAAATGTCTGTGATGTTTAATGCGTAATGGTATTAAAAACCCTTTAATTGTGATTCAAGTCCAGCTTCTGTCTTGGCACTGACGGGTTTGAGCTGCTCAGTATTTGAAAACTTGTATCAATGCACTTTTTGTTGCACTGATTTTAATGGGCAATCTCATTTCTTTGCTTGTCAAAGACCTCCCCAGTGCCACCCTTAGTGCTGCAGCCAATGCCTGGTGATGTCATGTTGCATTCAATAATGTTAAGCTGAGGCGAACTTTAGTCAAAGTATTATGTAAACAAGTGGCAGCAAGAAGCTTAAAGCTGTGCTGGTCAGCTCCATAGTGATCACTGTTATCAAGATGAGGTGTCTTTGTAAATTCTTGAGACCCATCAGTAGTGAGAGTTCATGTTCCATCTACTACAAACAGACGCAAACGCTAGATGTGTAAGTCTTTGGAGTGTAATTCTGGTGTTGATTTAATTGTACAAAGTCTGACTTCAGGGCACTGAAAATGTATCTTAAACTTTGCGCTAAAAGAATTTGAGAATTACCAATTATTTAAATATGTAATGTACGTGTCGTGCTTCTTATCAAGATATCCTGTGAGACTGAAAATTTCAGTGTTTCTACTTGTTTTAGTTAAATTGGTGATGATTTGGTCTATAAATTACTGCTCATTTTTAAGATCTTTTATTCATAAAACTGAGAACTCTTTTGTGTGAGTTTCCACAAAACATTTTATGGCAGTAATGATGAAATAGTTCAGTCAGTTAGTTGGAGGTTCTTGATGCGGGCATGTAAAACTGAAAGTTCCCCATCGACAGCTTTGTTTTTGCCTTTCTTTTGTGTCGACGGCTTCTTTGTCAGATGGTTTCTCTTCATTAGGAGCTGTAGTTACAGTGCTCCCATGTTTGAGGGCCATTGTCTAATAATGACAGCTGCAGCCTGATAGCTACAAAATCTCTGCAGTTATCATTTAAGTGAGTGTTTTCATTAGTTACAAGGCTTCAGATTCAAAGGGACTTCGTACTATAAACTGTGTGTGTGTGTGTGTATATATATATATATATTGAAATCTGGAACGATTTGAATACAAATAATGTATGCATTCAATTTTGTGCAGTGATTGTGTGTGGTAATTAACAATTCTCCCTCATTGGTTAACTTCCATACAAATGAATGAGTCATCCAAGGTCAGGGGGGGGGGAATAGAGGAGAAGAACAGAAGCCACGGTTCCTGTAAGGTTGGCTAGATGAAATATTCTCCAGTTCATTTGTTGTTAGCAGCCAGTTTCTTACAAATTTCTTACAAAGTTTCTTACAGCCTTACAAATATACTGTTTGCAAAGGTGGCTGATGTCCCTGTCAGCATGTGGCCTTTCAACTTTAAATCTGCTGGTACCCACCTAACCCCAGCAACGTAACTCGTGCTCAGTGCTGGACCTGAAGACCTCGCTGATTGGACACTCCTTCACTAACTGTCACCTCCAAATGACTCTGCTACTCCCTGGGCCCTAATTCCACCATTGCTGCTTTTTCAGCAGCGTGATCAGCTCGACCAATAATGCTCCAGGCCAGGAGCAGAAAGCAAGCCCTGCTAAAAACAAGCAGCTCCAACCACGTTCTGGATGAAGAGCCAAGAAGGGTCTTCTCTTTATTTATCTTTCTTTTATGAGAGGTGCCAGATCCGGCGTTTTCACACCATTTTAACATAGAATTACATAGAACGTAGAGTACGGAAACAGACCATTCGGTCCAACTGGTCTATACTGACGTTTATGCTCCACTTGAGCCTCCTCCTGCCCTTCCTCAACTAAGCCTATCAGCATAACCTTCTATTCCTTTCTCCCTCATGTACTTATCTAGCTTCCCCTTAAATGCATCTATGCTATTCGCCTTAACTACTCCTCGTGCTAGCAAGTTCCACATTCCCACTACTCTCTGGGTAAAGAAGTTTCTTCTGACTTCCCTATTTGATTTATTGGTGACTATTTTGTATTTATAGCCCCTGGTTTTGGTCTCCCCATAAGTGGAATCATCTTCTCTTTATTTAGATAACCAATAAGCAGTAACCAAGGACTTATTTAGATAACCAATAAGCAGTAACCAAGGAAGTAAAGCACACACAATAATCAAAAAACACTTCCACACACTGCTTTTCATCTTACCCATTTTATCAACCAACACACAAAAAGGTTTAAGTACACATGCATATGGCATGCGAATATGAGAATTGAGCTCACATACCCAACAATGCAATTTAGCCACATCTAGATTCCCAATTAGACACATGTGGCTAGGGGCTAATGTATTGGACAAACCTGCTTTACTGAAATGAATCTGCACCAAATTGATGAGATCTGGGCATACAATACAATCATAATGCAGTGTGTTTAAAAGTAAAGAGGGACTTATTCAAATCTTTCAGATGAGTATGTAAAACATATTTGACATTCAAATTTGAAAAACTCTTATTTCACAAGTTCTTTATCTCGGTTTCCTATTATTCATTATCTGTTGGTGGCTGTGTTTCACTTGCACTTCAGAAATGGTAAGAAAGACGCTAGGTTTATTACATTATAGTAAACAAAGCACTGTTGTACATGAATGGAGAGCAAGAGGTTCATATCAGGACTGTCTGAGAGCTCAGAAAAACTGACAAATAGATAAATACTGGAGGAATTGGAAATGAAAATGCCAAACAAGATGAGATTGGAAAAAAATGTTCTCTGAAAGTGGTGAATATGTAAAATAGATTTAGTTTAAGCAGTTAATTTGGTGTTGAACAGCACCTTTAAAATAAGCCGAACAAATATCTGGTTTGGAATGCCTTTGAAGTTTATACTGATAAGATTAGGAGAAGATGATTGAATGCTGTGTAGGACAAGGTAGTTACTGTAATACTGGGATCATAGTCCTGACATGCAAAAGAAGGATGAATAATGTAGGATGGAAGGCCAGATAGTTTTGTTTCATCTTTGATATCATAAGTGTTGCAGAAACTTTCTCTGTGAGATTAAATGGATTTGCTAGATTTCAATTACAAAATAGAGTGTATATGTGGCAGGAAGATGTTTCATAAGCTGCATGTCATTTTATTTTTCCATGTTTTCCCATGTTCTTATGAACGCAAACAACAAAAGGAAAATAAACGTTGGAGAGAATAATTGGTAGATAAGAGTGAAAGATTTGAAGAGAGACAGAGAGGATTAATTGTATGGAGTAACATGCTTCGAATTATTTTATTTTAGGAGGAATAATCATCTGTACCCGTTCAGTTTAACTAAACCATGCTTCAGAAGGTAGTTGCCTTCTTCAAAGTTAATTCCAATTATCTACAATAGGAAACCAAATTAATGGTGCACTAATAGCCAATTCCCATTATCTTCCATCTTGGTATGAATATAGTTTTAAATAGTTTTTTTTTCTATCACTATTATTTCCTCCCAGAATCGAACATGGTTGCTATAATGTGAAACTGGCAGTCAATGAAAGAGGTGTATGTTTCAGATTATCTATTCTCTTGGTGCTCAGAGGATGCATGTGATGAATAATATCACCATGAATGAAAATGCCAATTTATTTATATTTGTGTTGTTAAAACTAAGTGGTAAACAATTGATAAAGCCACCACTAATCTCTCGTAATAATGCATAATTTATATGCATCTAACAGTGCATTGCTATAGTTGCTTTTCTAAGATCATATTATAAATATGAGAAGAGTGAACAAGCTGCTGTGTTTCCATTTACATACAGCCTGACCCTTCCTCCACCTTCATTTCCCAAATGGTACGTGCTCCCTTGAAAGGCTCACTGTTACATCTGTCACACCAGCTGACCTGGAGACTGGGCAGAAATGCATCACTGGCTGCTTTAGAGATTGGTTCTCTGTTGTGCAGAAAATGTATGAGAATTAGCGCACATTACATCTAAAGTGGTAAATGTTTAATGTTCCAAGTACAGATTATTTAATGTATGTATGTTGAATTCTGTGAGTAAATGCCGGTGGCAGAAAAACCTAGTTAAGAATTATTTATTTAGGATGTTTGGAATTGGTTATTAATGCACCAATAATTTGGAGTCTCACTATGACAGATAGTTGGAATTCATTTTGACAATTTTAAATTTTCTGAGCAAGCATTACAGACTGAATATTATTTTATTCAGTGCAATCTGTCCTCTACCCTGCATTCATCACAATCTGTGTGTGGCTGCCTGCAGTGGGGAGCGAGTAAAAGAGAGCAAGAGAGAAGAAAGGAGTTTAGTGATGTAAAAAGATGCATAAGGAATGTATCAGTGATGTTTTACTTACAGAATGACCTGATAACCTGGAAGAGGGACTGACAATCTTCTATCCATGGAGCATTTATAATGCAGTGCTTAATTATTGGATCCAAGATACCACATTTTAATGAGATTGCTCTTTAATCCTAACATTTGTATTATCACGTCAAGAAGTCAGAAAACAACATGGTTGGCACTGGCTTTAGAGACAGTTAGGTGGTCAGTAAATTAAATAAATATTGTATTTGAACATTAATGATGCACTGCCAGTGGAAGAGGTCAGAATACAATAGATAGCATTGTATTCCATGATTATCTGCTGTCAAACTGCTTCACATGTGCCACGTGTCCTTTCATCTGCTCATTGATTCGTTAGGTGCACTATGCACAGTGAGAATTTTTCCGTTAACTTTAGGTTCAAGACTGTATCCAGATCCTTGTAATTTTATTTTCTTGTTCTGCTCAATACTATTGTTGTTGCTACAGAAAGCCTATTCTGGTTCTGGGAGTGAGATCTAGGCCTCACTAACTGGAGAGTTTGAGAGAGGCCCCCATGATTTCCCTTGTAGTTCAATGATCAGCCTCCCTCAGAACCTGATCTTGCATATACATAATCCTAAGCAATCTCAGAAACTGCGATCCTGGGGAAGCGTGCCCAGAGGAAAATGCCTCTGCAAATAATCTGGTCATGTCCATCTATAGGCCTGCTGGGAAGAGGTCATTTGCTTATCAGAACAGGGGCCAGACAGCCTGTGACTGGAGCAAATACTTCCTACAGGTTCACTCCATTGCTCTTCTCTTTCCCCACCGCGCCCCCTCTCCCCACCCCCAGATCTGTAAGGAATTTGGAATCAGCTTAACACTCTCAAGCCCACCCCACCCCAACATTGGGGCCACAAACAGGCCAAGTTGCTTGCCTCCTTCTGATTCAGTTCAACTCTGTGCCATAGAATGCTATGTGATGTTGAGTAACAGCATTCAACAACATGCAGAACTTTGTAAGATTCCTAATTTGTATACACCAGTAACTCCTGTATGTTGTATTTTACAAAGATCTGAGAAAGTGGATAAGCTTCCCGTTTGAAACAAAAAAAACGTGCATTGAGAATATAGGCCATATCAGTTGAACAAAAAAATACTTGTACCTTCAGCTTTTAATTTTTTCCTTAACTATATATTCTCTCCTGTGGGTCTTAACTCCTCAGTCTCCCCAGGTTCTCCTTCAGACTCACCAAACCCGTGCGTAACTTAGGCATCAGGTTCAAGCCCCAGCTTTCATTTCTACTACACATCTGTTCCCTGACCAGAAAAGTTTTTTCCACCTCCATCATATTGCCTGTCTCCATCTGTACTTCACAACCAATGCACTGGAAACCATCATCCACCCCTTGATCATTTCCCAGCCAGACTATTCCAATGCCCTCCTTGCTGGTCTCCCCAGCTCCACCATACACACAACAAAATTAATTAAAAATGCCCGGATACTCACTTGCATGAAACTCTGTACCTGGTATCACACTAGTCCTTGCGAGGCTCCAATGGCTCCCAATTGCCGAATGAATCGATTACAAGATCCTCTCATTTTCAAATCCCTTTATGCCCTCGCACCTCCCTACCTATCTGACCTGCTTACCCCCCACTCCATCACTCACTGCCTCCACTTGGCTGGCTCTGGCCTCCTGTTTGTCCCTGGTCCACTCTGCTCCACCATCGGTGGCTGTGCCTTCAGCCACTATGCCCTGAAACTCTGGAATGTTCTCCCTCAATCCCTCCAGCTTGCCCCTTCCCTTCTCCCTTTCAAATCCCGCCTAAAAACCTTCCTTTTTGATCATGCTTAAGGTCGCCACCCCTCTCTCCCTGGCTCATTGTTAGACTCCGTCACTTCAATTGCTCCGGGACGCTACCCCATGTGAAGTACACTATATAAATGCAAGTTGTTATTGTAAAGTTGTTGTTATTCTTTCTATTTAGTGAGGAACTCGGGGAATTTATGGAAATGAAAGGAGCCAGTAGTCCTGGGATACTCGTGCTTACCACAAGCCTCAGCAAACCATTTATGAGACTGGAAAAATACCCAACACTACTTAAAGAACTTGAACGACACATGGAGGTAAAATATGTTGTATTTGCTGGCGAGGTATTGATGAAACAAGTAAGACGGTTTATATTTGGATGGTTTTGTTCTATGGGAATGAATGATTAGCAAACGTGAAGTTTAGTACACGCCATGTGTAAACACAAGTGTACTGGGTGCCATGCATTAATGGATGTTATTTAACAACAGTATGTAGGAATTATAGGAAGCTGTTCAGCTCATTGAAGCTGTTCCACCAGTTTATCAAATATTGACAGATCCTCTTATCCCAATCCGCCATATGCATTTAATAAAGATACTAAATCATAAAGATATATATGGAGTCCTGCAGCTCAGTGGTTAGAGCACTCGCCTCGCACGCGAGAGACCTGGGTTCTATTCCCAGTTGTGCGATATGTTGGGAAAGTTTCCTTACTCCACATTACTGTTTACCTAGCAGTAAGTAGGAACCAGATTGTTAGTTGATTGGCGGATCGCTTTTCTGGGAATAATAATCTCTCAAGAAAATAAAAACAATAATAATTTTGTCACTCAATCCACGACTTTGTGGGACACTGCTGCTTGCAATTGGTTGCTGCGTTTTGCCCACAACTATACAGTCAATTCACTTTACATATATTCTGTGCAACACTTTGAGACGTGAAAAACACCATAATCAAATGCAAGGATTATTATTATACTTCCAAAGTATATGGTTATCTCTCTTGTAAAGATCCCTATTAATTCTGTTTTGGGGCAGAGCATTTAACATCTTCACAACTCTCAGTGTGAAGAAGTGCTTTCTAACCTCAGTTCTAATTGTCTTAGTTCTGATTTTAAAGCTTTGCCCCCCCTTGCAATGGATCCTGCTATTAGAGGGAAGAGTTGGCCACAGTCTAACTTGCCAAAGATTTTTATACTTTGAATGCTTCAATCAAATTATCTCTAAACCTCCTCTCGTCTAAAGAATGTAATCTGAGTTCACCCAGCCTCTCATAGCTCAGCCTCTTAGCGAAGGTAAAGTAGAAATGATTGGTGCCCTTAAGTGGCGTCCTCTAGCTCAGTGTTCAGAGCACTCGCCTTGCTGTTTACCTGTAAACCACTGTTTACCTAAAAGAAAGTAGCAACCTGGTTGTTAGTCGATTGGCAGATCGCTTTTCTGGGGATAATAAATTGGTCGCTGAATCCACAACTGTTTGTGGGAGACTGCTGTGCGCAATTGGCTGTTGTATTTCACCCACAAAATATACAGTTAATTCACTTTACAGTATATTCTGTGAAGCGCTTTGAGATGTATCGAAGAGGTGAAAGGTGCTGTATCAAATGCAAGGATTATTATTAATTATGTCATTAACAATATATAAAACATATTTAAGGGCACCTGTAATTCCTTCTGTACAAATGGTTTACTCATAGTGCATAATACAGATGTGTTTACACATGGCTTCATGTATGGATGTGTGCAGCTGTGATTCCCAGACTGTCGCTGCCCTGTCCCTCTGTCTGGGAGCAGGCAGCTCCCTATGGCTCAGGCTTTCGGGAGAGCTTAGGGTCCATCTTTTGTTACAGTTTGAAGTGCAAAAGAATTACACAGTATATCTTTAAGGGTGTTAGATACATATTTATCATATCTACATTTTTGTGAAGAAACAAAGCTAAAACTGCTAAGGAAAGTTAAAATAAAGCTGTATTGCATCAAGTGTATTATTTTGTTCAGCAACATTGCTTCTAAAATCCTACTATTATAATTATTTTAACAAAAATGTTGGGTATTGAAAGGTGATGGTGTACTAGCATTTTTTCTTTGCATGATGCAATATTAACCTCTCAAAACAGCTATTTTATTTAGTCCATTGAGCATTCTGTTCGTATAATTACCATGTGACCCAGATTGTCAAAGTGGAATTGGTTCAAAATATTCTCACACTGTGTAAAAATAGTTCCCATTGGATTTCTTCTCTAGTTACAGTGCATTTTTTTAAGTGTTCTCTGGTATTCCTGGTTCATTTCTCGCCAGTAATATAAGAGCAAATGCATTCAAAACTCTAGGGTACCTGCCGATGCAATCAGAAGAGTATAATAAATGTGACCTATATAACTGAGTGAGAAGGATAGCTGCTGGCACAACTCCCTCTGGGTCTGAGTACATCAAGACCTTTATATTTAGTTTTGTCAATTTCAACTCTGTTTAATATAATAATTGCTTACAATCAGGTTACATTCAGGGTAATATCTTAACCTTTTTGAAAAAAGTGCATTTAAGAATCATTTTTAAAAAAATGAAATAATTGGAATTATTTAGCAGAAAACCATACTATCAGAGTTATTAAATTGTAAGAGAAGAATAAACCTTACTATCTTGTGACCACATGAATACTTAGATATGCAAGTCCTTACTAATGATCCTTGCATTTGATAACCAGGATTCTGAAGATTAAACCCAATATGTTAATTGTCCTCCCCCCCCAAAAAAAGAAGCATGTAAACTAAAGCTATTTACCACACTTTTGTAACTCAACTTTATACTTTTAGCAAGAAGTAAATATGGGAGCATGTCTGTTTGAAGGGATTGCAGCCATTGTATTTATTTGTGCACGATGGATTCATTACATTTTCAAACCGAAAGATTTGCCAATTTCAGTTTATAGTATGTACTAGATTGCCAATAGAGTCTGGTTATTTCCTTCATTCCCCATCTAAACTGATCTGTGTAGTTCTGTCAGGTTCATTGGTCTGTGATACAGCTATGAATTATATATTCTGTGTGTGCAATTCATTTGTACAAAGGCATAGATCTGGAGAGGTGATTCTGTTACAGACTACGGCAGTAATATTATTGATCTAAAGATTTCCTTAGATAGTCACTGGATGTTGGTGACAGTAAATTGCTATAAAAGTGATTGTCCTTGTCTTTAGGATTATCATCCAGACCGACCTGACATTCAAAAATCCATGACATCCTTCAAAAATCTCTCGGTAAGTTATTGTGTATGCAATCCTGTTTATTATTGTTTTTGTACTCGTTCATATTAAAATTGCTTTGTAAAAAAATAACAACTGCANTTTTTTGCTTCTTAATTTTTTAATGTAAATATTTACACCAGACTATTTACTCTGGTACTTTGCTTTGTTATTTCAGAGTACAATGGATCAGAAATGGTATTGTTTAGAATCCTCATGGTTTTAATTTGTCTATTTTCAATAAATAATTTTTAATGAGCTTACATTTTTTTGACTGAATCATCAGAATGTGTGTGTGAAGCATTCCAGCTGTCAGCTCAGACAGTCTAGCCACTTTGCTGACTGTTGAATTGTAAAGCCTAAAACCCAGTCTGGCACCATTGAAATATCTGCAATTTCTGCAGCCGTTTTTGGTTTGCATTTTGTTACCACTATCAGCTTGAACACGAAAATACTTTGGGCTGTTGGTCATTCAGGTCAAGAAGAAGCTTCTGCCTTAAATAAATTGGAGGAGTAAAAGATTGAATATAATTGCAAGATACCACAATTATTTTAAAATCTGTAGACAAGCAACTTAAAAGGATAAAATGTATTTCTGTTCTATGGGTCTCAGGAGTATTGTTCACAGAAGCAGTGTCTCTTCACACAATGTACAAATGGATTACATCAAGCTTAATATTTCCTAAACTGCAAATTAAATGATTTGATTCAATCTATTGTCAGAAGTTGAAAGACATCAAGGGGATAGAAGGGTTGGAGAAGAGATTTACTAGGATGATACCAGATGAGTGGTTTGAGAGAAGAATTGAGGAACTGGGACTTTTTTTGCTGGAACAAAGGAGGTTTAAGAGTGATCTGATAGAGGTCTTTAAAATTATAATGGGTTTTCATAGAGTTAATAGGAAGAAATTATTTTCACTGGCTGGGCAGTCAGTAACTAGAGGGCATCCATTTAAATGAGCTAATGAGGAGGTCAGGAGAAATTTGTTCACTCACCAATTATTTGGTTATGGAATGCTCTGCCTGGAGCAGTGGTTGAAGCAGATTCCATAATAGCCTTCGAGGTATTTCTAGATAAATACCTTAAAAAGAGTCAACTAAAGAGGAAAGAATGGGTAAATGGACTGAAAGGATTGTTCTTGAAGGAGCCGGCACAGATACAGTCAGCCGAATGGCTTTCTTCTGTGTCGTAAATTTCTATGGTTCTACGTTCATGCGGATGGCAATGAATCTCGGGGTCAGCTTTTTGACTCCATACTTTCTCACCTGTTAAGTGATAAAGTCTGACATCCCTTGACTTGTAGCTCTGTTGCCACCCTAATGTGCAGAGGGTAGAATATTTAATGTAACTGATTCATTCAATTAAAGTTTCTTGTTAAAGTGCTCACTTCTTTTGTAGCAAAGGCAAATTGTTTCTATCAGTGGTTTTGGACAAGTGAAGATGAAACTCGTCTTTACATGGAATAGCTTTCCAATGTACAATTAATGCCCAGAATAAAATGAGCAATAGGTTCTGAGGAATGGGTTCCATTGGCTCAGCAAGTTTTATTCAGAGTCGCTGTATTGCCCATGAAGCTCGCAGTCTGTGCTGAATTAATTGATCTAATTTGGGCCGGAACCAGGAACATTACAGTTGGGGCTCAGTACCTTGTATTCGGGTTTGAAAATCGGCCCGAGTTTCTGATCTGATTATTATCCATTGACCCCTGCTGGATGTTTGCTTGGGTGGACATTGACTGAGACAGGTACTTGGAGGAGGGGAGAGAATCGTCAAGAATGGATACAGCCCCACACTACTGTTTTGAGGGATATTAGAAAGGGAGATAACTTTTTTTATTGGCAACATTCAGACCAGGCAAAAAGAATTTTTTAAGTATACATTGTTTTAAACCAAGCAATATTCTAGGCTGTAATTTGAAAGTGTATATATGCACAGACTAGGTAGTGGAATAAAATCTGTCATTTCCATATTGAATAAGTGCTTCCGAGATGCTACCCAGATGCAAGTTGTTGTTGTTTTTGTTGTTGGAATGAAATCTGTGATTTTCGTATTGAATTTAAAATTGTGAGGATATAATCTGTAAATGCGTGTTGCGAAAGACTTGACGGCAGAGCAGATTCAGTGGGCTGCCTGGGCTGATCCACCTTCTTTGCTCTCAATGTTGTTGAATTTTATTACTCATAGGCACAGTGTCAGGAAGTACGGAAACGGAAGGAACTTGAGCTGCAGATACTGACAGAAACAGTACGTGGATGGGAGGGCGAAGACATCAAGTTATTGGGAAATGTCATCTATATGTCACAGGTCATGGTTCAGTGTGGAAATGAGGTAATTATTCTTTAGCATTTCTGCAATCTCTTTATTGGTGCTGTAAAGTAAGTATTAAAAGGAGTTTACTCTACTTGTGGAATAAATATCCTTTAACCTATTATGAAAAGTTTTTGATTCTAATTTAGATTTTTTCTTTCACTGAAATGTATCAGTTTGTAAATGAAGTTTGCTATGGGATGTTAATTACTAGATCAATTTGGGGCTCATTTCCCTCTGATTCAGTGTTAAATTTATCCACGTCCTTTCTGCACTTGCACATGTACAATTAGAAAAGCTTCACCTCGTGATAGTGTTTTTTTTGTAGAAAGCTGTAGAGAAGTCAAAAACTATTGAGTACTATAATTTTCAATGGATCTCTCCCTGGGTGTGAAAAATGAGTCAGTGGGCAGGAAAGCTTTGCAATAACCCATGAGCAAATGTATCCTTTTCTGTCACAGTAAGCCTGTCAGCTTTGCAGGTGCAAGCAATTGGATTTTGGATTTAATTGCTTTAATAATGTGTATTTTTAGGAGAAGAGTGAGAGATACTTCCTGCTGTTCCCACATGTGTTGCTAATGTTGTCTGCAAGCCCCAGGATGAGTGGTTTCATTTATCAGGTAAGTGAAGAACATTTATTTCAACTTGTGATCATTTGGCACATAGGAATATTGTTAGTGACATGTGAAACCACTTTGATGATATTTTGTGCACCTGGTTGTCAAAAAATTACTTTTTTAAAAAAAGCACACACACACCAGGCTGGTCTTTGAGATCGTTCACCCTGTGGTTTCTCAAGCACTCTTTATTGCAGCCAGTCACAATCATTAGAAATAACCAGGACAATCCCCAACAAAATAACCAGGTCAATCCCCAACATGCAGAAAAAGGGGATTGTGAACTTATAAAGTTATTGGTGACCTTGGAAGAGCCAGGGAAATAATTCTCCATGAGTTAAAGCAGTTCTCATAGTCATTTCAGGTTTCTAATGCATTTGTTGATTTGAACTATGTTGAAAATTGATAAGTTCTTATATTTGAATTTCACAAGGGCATTATTTAATTTTGTTTTTAAATATGTTACAAGGGAAAGTTGCCGTTAACCGGACTGACGATCACCAAATTAGAAGACATTGATAGTGAGAAAAATGCTTTTGAAATTACTGGTAAGTTGAACTAAAGTTTTTTTTGTTGTCGTTCAGGCTCTCCATTGCTTCCACCACCCCATCACTTCTGTCATGAACTTGTAAAAATAGTCAGAATCAATCTGTACTACACAATCTCTTTTTCCCCTCACTAATTTTCACACCTCCTCTTCTGAAGGTATTGTGACTGCTTTTTCCTTCCACTAGACAGCATGTAAACATTATTTATATAACTGCAGTACTTTACTTGGATGTTTTTACACAAGACCTCAGGAGCTATGTGTTCTTCATAACTTCTTCAAGTACTTGTACTGATTTGTAATAAAACATATCAGATAAAAAAAATGGAAAGCACTTTATATTCAAAGCGGTGAAGATATATTTGTAGTTTTGGGACAGTTTCAAATTTCAGTTGAAAATGTAATTACTTTCCAAATTCAGCTTTAATACTAGGATGTACTTATTACATTCAACAATTGTGATTTTTAAATTAAATTTTGAGCATTGCACCATTTTTTACATTGTATATAATATGCTGTATTTAATATGACAGGAGAATTGCTTTTTTTTTTTATAACTCCTCACTAATTTTCTAATTTTGATAGCACCAGTTAAAGAGGAGCACCTTCTGTTCAGGGTGCTTGCCTTACTAACCACTCTCATCTCCATCACAGAGGAGGACGGTGTCTGATTGCAAGCGAAAGGAAAGATCAAATAGATTAACCCCATCTGATGACTGTTCCCAATTTCCTAGCAGATAACAACAACATTGGTCTGTGGTCTCCTTGATCACAGCACAAACATGAAAACAAATTGGTTGTACATTTCTGGTGCTTCAGAAACAGCACGATGCATTAATAAAATTAATCCAGATTATAGAAGAAACGAGGTAATGCTCTTGACCTGCAATACTCTTATTTTTGCAGTATGGTAGAGGCCAAAAATATGATTTACACCAAATGTTTTACTATTAATGCATTTAGTTTTATTGCCATCAAAGGAAGTGTGATTTATATTTCTGAAGTGTTAACATCATTTGTATATTTTTATCTTAATGCAGGAAATATGATAGAAAGAATATCAGTATCTTGCTACAACCCCCAGGATTTGCAGGACTGGGTTGATCAACTTCAGAAGCAGACCAAAGTTCCAAGTGGAGGAGGAACACCTATCAAGCAGCAATCTGTGCCATCCCACACAGTAAGACCCTGCAATGCTTAAATGATTAATTCTAACAACAAAAAAGGATTTGGAGCCTTAGGTTAACTTTCTTATATGTCCTTGCTCACCTTTCATGGATTGTACCATTCTGTTGCTCTCTTTCTAATTTTTCTTCATAACCCTTTATTTATAGCGTTCAGTGCAGTATTTCATTTCCATTAGTAGCAACGTGTTTGGCAGATGAGACGGGTTCTCATACTGATTTATGTTTCTTCTCCTCAGAGAGTAGTGTGCTCTCTGCTCAAAAAACAGTACAACCAGACTCTTTTAAAGTAAATCTTGTACCTGAATATATTTTAGAAATGCTGATAAAAACTAAGGTGATGATGATCTGCATGTTTATATATTATGGCTATTATAATGAGTTGTATTTTTTGTTTCAGCTTCCATCCCATCCCATGACCCCAATAAACAAGCATTCTGATGGTAAACCAATTTCTGTAGCTCCTTCTTATCATACACTTCCTCATCCTTCTTTCCATGGAACATCACATAGCAGTCTGACTTGGGGACCCCTGGAGCCTCCCAAAACACCAAAGCCTTGGAGTTTGAGTTGTCTGCGACCAGCACCCCCACTGAGGCCTTCAGCTGCCCTATGTTATAAAGAGGTAGGACAACAACAAATTAACATCTGTATAGCACCTTTCATGTTGGCACAACGTTCCAAGGCGCTGGATGGACAGTCCATTATTATAAAAAGAAAAATTGCACCTTATATTTGTACAGTATTTGCAGGTTTTCCTTTCATGGTATTGTAGTTTTCAGAACATTATAAGTGAATTAATCCTCTTGCATTTTATTTGATTTGTTTCCCATTTCCATCTAGTGGAGACGTGGAAACCCTCAAAATACTCAGTTGTATTAATATCGCTATTGGTAATTACAATGCCTATATCATACAGTGTTGGAATGCCTTAAGCCTATTTGTAAAGAAAACAAGCGATCTTGAGACTCGTCAAAATGCAATGAGGATTGCCTTATCTGTATCAAACTTCATTCTCTGTAGACAAAGAGAGATGGGGTCAGGATGCCCAACATCTTTAAGATTATTGCTGAAGTGAATTTCTAGCACTTAGGCCAGTCCTCCAGATTTATGACAAGAATTGTGCCCAAGATATATAATTCATAACAATTCAAGTTCTCAGATGCTACATGGAGTTATGATTTTAACAGGAAGCAGCTTCCTGTATATTCAGATCCTGAAACCTTTCTTAACAACAACAAGATTATATTTGTATATGGACGACATCCCAAGGCACTGGACAGTGTACAGCATTTCAGACTCGAGCTGGGGTCAGCGGGGGAGAAGGAAGGGGAGGAGAAGGGGGGTGGCCGATAGCATGGTCGAAGAGGAGGGTCTTGAGGCGGGACTTGAAGGAGGCTAAGGAGGGGGTGAGGCAGAGTGATTGGGGGATGGAATTCCAGAGGTTGGGGGCAGAGTGGCTGAAGGCTTTCCCGCCACTGGTGGGGCAGGTGGATCGGGGGACGTGAGCAGGTCGAAGCCGGCTGAGCGAAGGGAACGGGCAGGTTGGTAGGAGGGTAGGAGATCGCAGAAGTATGGTGGGGCGAGGCCATGGAGAGCTTTGTAGGTGAGGACCACGATCTTGAACTGGATCCTCTGAAGGATAGGGAGCCAATGGAGTTGGGCGAGAATGAGGGAGGTGGAGTTTGGTGCGGGATAAGACATGGGCTGCAGAGTTCTGGATTATCTGCAGCCTGTGGAGGGAGGAGTTGGGAAGGTCAACAAGCAGGGTGTTTGCATAGTCGAGCCTGGAGGTGATGAAGGCATGAACAAGAGTTTCAGCGGCCTGAGTGGTGAGGTAGTGGCGGAGTCGGACGATGTTACGGAGGTGAGGGAAGGCAGAGTGGGTGTGGGGAACAAAAGACAGTTGAGGGTTGAACAAGAACCCTAGGTTCCTGACTGGCTTGGTGAGTTTTAGTGTGCAACCATGGAGGTTGATGCTGCCAGAACCTGAGGTGCAGAGGCGCTGGCGCGAGCCAATCAGGAGGGTCTTGGTCTTGTTCATATTCAACTGTAGGAAATTTGCCCTCATCCAGGACTTAATGTCCGACCGGCAGTAGTCGGACATTAAGTCAGCAGTGGTCCTGGAGTTGAGGGTGGAGGCAGAAAGATAGAGTTGGGTGTCATCCGCATACATATGGAAGTTGACCCCATATCTGCATGTAGATATTAAAGAAAGGGCCAAGGACAGAGCCCTGGGGGACTCCAGACATGACAGTGCGGGGGCTGGAGGAGAAACCGTTAGAGGCAACAAAGTGGAGACGGTGAGAGAGATACGAATCGAACCAGGCAAGGGCAGGTCCGCGAAGACTGAGTAAAGTGGAGAGGCAGTGTATGAGGATGGAGTGGTCGACAGTGTCGAAGTTGGCAGAGAGGTCGAAGAGGACAAGGAGGCAGAGGGAGCCCTGATCACAGATATTCAGAATGTCATTAGTGACTTTGACCAGGGCTGTTTATGTGCTGTGGGCAGCGCGGAAGCTGGATTGGAGAGGTTCAAAGAGGGAATGGCGATAAAGAAAGGAGCGGATCTGGGACGTGACTGGGATCGAAGGAGTATGGGGGGGTGGATCATGAGGGAGAGGTGATGTCACTTCACTCAGAGGGTAGTGAATTTATGGAATTCACTACCCCAGAAGGCGGTAGATGCTCATCAGTCCTTGAACATCTTCAAGGCTGAGACTGATAGATTTTAAAAAAATAGAGGGATTAGGGGATATGGGGATAGGGCAGGTAATTAGAGTTAGGTCTGAAGATCAGTCACGATCTTATCGAATGGCGGGGCAGGCTCGAGGGGCCGAATGGCCTACTCCTGCTCCTACTTCTTATGTTCTTATGTGGGGGTGGCTGTGGACGGGGCGGGGGTAGTTGAACGTATCCCCTCGATTTTGAATTCATTAAGTGACCTCATTTGCTCTGTATCTTAGAAGCTCTGGACTCGATAGTTCTCCATCCTAATATTTTCACGCATTTAATTCAGCCAAATTTGTTGTTGCAATGGTTTTCGGAGCCAACGTCCCACTCTAAGGATATTTGAGACTAGTTTACAAAAAAAATGTTTAGGATAATTTAGATTCATTTTTATGTAATTTTGGAGGAAAATGAATGGTTAGATTCCAGCACAAATGTGATCATAGTTCTATTGATTGTTGGAGGAACTAAGTCGATCGATTATAAATACAAAGTACAGTTTCATTTATATATACATCTACCAGTCCCGTTCAACATTTTCAGAAACTTTAGAATTCAGGTTACATGTGCACAAAATTTTAAACAAAATAAATTTTTCTTGGACAGGATCTCAGCAAAAGCCCCAAAACAATGAAAAAACTGCTTCCCAAACGCAAACCTGAAAGAAAACCATCCGATGAAGAATTTGCAGTGAGGAAAAGTATGTTTTACATTTAGTCAACTTACTTCTCTGAAGGCGATTTTCTCACTCATAAAATAAAGGATTTTTTTCCCTTTCAGTTTTAACAGGGATTTGTACATGCACAAAAATTCTTCATTGATATTGTATTAAATTGTATGACTCTGCCAACAAAATACAATCGCACCAATTTACAGTATATCCTGTGAAGCGCTTTGAGACGTCTTGGCGACATAAGGCACTATATCAAATGCAAGGATTATTATTATGACTTTTTTCCTGTCACTATCATTAGACAGACTGCCTTTTTTCCCTCCTCAATACACAATTTAAATAAGTTTTGAGTGAATTAAATACATTTGGACGGCCATTTAGCTTTGCCGATCTCCATGGATATTGGTTGGGTTTGTAAGCGCAAACAATACTTTTTCCTGCTCCTGTCATTTCAGTGCTATAGAGAGTCTAAGGGAAAGTAAAAGATTCTACCATTTTGAACTGCGCTGGTCCAATTCTTCATATAGCAAATTAATTTAAGTTACAGTCATCTGGTTGAGTGCTTCATATGGCTTTGGGTTTTTATTTCAGGTACTGCAGCTCTTGAAGAAGATGCACAGATCTTAAAAGTTATAGAGGCTTACTGCACTAGTGCCAAAACCCGTCAGACGCTTAACTCAAGTAAGTTGTGAACTTTATTCTGTAGAATAATCAATTTGAATATTATTTAGAATAGTTTTCACGTGTGAAAACTTGGTTTAAATGTCCAACATTATACCATTTTGGAGCTCCAGAATAGCCTCATTATAATATTGTATTTGAGGTCCATGAAATCCCAACCAGTGCTGTAACAGGGTGCGTTTGCTCTATGCAGCAGTTTTCTGAAACGGTTTGCACTGTTTGAATCAGATTGCACAGTATTCTGAGCTTTTTTTGTTAGAAACTGCATACTAATATTTATCACTGAATCCCTGACTATTCCCTCACTTTGTTTTCAAATGAAACATTTCTGGATCTCACAGAAGAAAGTGAGAACATGGCAAGAAAACCATTTAATAATGGAAGCATATCTTCCAAAGAATAAAATATTTCTCATGAATTATTTTAAATATATTTATCTTGTTATTTGGTTTAAAGAACATTCATTTGTTTTAGTAGCTGTGGCACCGATAAAGTCTATATTTGTTTATGAAGTTTTACATTGAAAGTTAGTACCTTTATATTTCAGAATTAATTTGCCAGATTTTTTAAATTAGAATCTACTTTTGATTAAATCAGGGGAATTTGTCTTAATTTGATTAAAATTGAAATATTAGACCAAAATGGTTTTACATACTTAACTTCAGAAAACTGGCTTCAAAATGAAGATTGTGCAGAGTTTGGAAATATTTTTAAATCAATCTTTTAAGACAATATTCTGAAGGCTAGGATCATGAGCCTTCTTAATTATTTTATTCATAGAAATATTCATCATGTTCAAAACCAGTGTGATCGAATGCCTCTTTAGAATGAAATTCCTGCCCTTCATTAATCCACAGCAGTACAAGTTGGAACTTAGCTGCAAGATCAGACTTACCTAGTCAGTTAGCATTTAGGAATCTTCCCCAAAAGGTTGTGTTTGGTGGTAAATTACAAACATCTACCTGATATGCTTTGTAATTGGCATCATTTTTTGGTTGATTGACCCATGATAGGTTGTTGGTTTGGTCACACGAGGGGCAAAATTGGCGAGGTTTTGTTACTTGTCACTTTGATGCTTGTTTCAAATCGGTCTTGTGTCCTGTTTCACTGTTGTGCATCTCTGATGATGTTTACAGCAATGGAAGTGGACACCAGCCTGCTTCTTCTTGCTCATTCCTCTGCTGCATCAGAATTGCTGACAAAGGAGAAATTCATGTGAATGTTAACAACAACAACAACAAAATTACATTTGTATAGCGCCTTTTACGTCGGCAGGACGTCCCAAGTGCACTGGACAGACAGGGCTAAGGACCCGAGCTGTGGGGGAGGGTGGAGGGCGCAGGGGAACCAGGGAGATCAAAAGTACAATCGAAGAGGAGGGTCTTGAGGTGGGTCTTGAAGGTGGTAAGGGAGGAGGCGAGGCGGAGGGCCTGTGGGATGGAGTTCCAGAGGGTGGGGGCAGAGTGGTGGAAGGCCTGCCCACTAATAGTGGGGTGAGCGAGGTGGGGGACGTGAAGCAGGTTGGAGCCCGCTGAGCGGAGGGAGCGAACAGGGTGATAGGGGTTTAGGAGGTCGGAGAGTTAGGGGGGAGCCAGACCGCAGAGGGCTTTGAAGGTGAGGACCAGGATCTTGAACTGTATCCTCTGTGTGATGGGAAGCTAGTGGACTTGGGCAAGGATGGGGGTGATAGGGTCGAGGAGCCTAGTGCAGGAGAGGAGAGGACATGGACTGCAGAGTTCTGGATGATCTGCAGCCTGGGGAGGAGTAGGGGAGGTTGACAAGCAATGAGTTTGCATAGTCGAGCCTCAATGTAATGAAGGCTTGTATGAGGGTTTTCGGCAGCCTGCGGTGTGAGACAGTGTCGGAGCCGGGTGACGTTGTGGAGGTGGGGGAGGTGGAGGAAGCCAGAGCGGGTCATGGCGCAGATGTGGGGTAGAAAGGATAGTTGAGGGTCAAACAAGACCCCAAGGTTCCGGACTGGCTTAGCCTCACTCACCTTCCCAAGCTTCACTGAGGCTTTCCTTGCAGTAGTTGGGAGTCAAAAGCTGAAAAATGCTGATATCAACTAATGCTGCCAAATTTGACAATCAGCTTACCACTGGCTTTTAGTTTGGATTTTCTAGAATAAAGTTGGCATTATTACTACTAAATATATTCAGCACACTTTGAATAGTGGGCTGAATATATTTGTGAATATATAGTGTGCTAAAACACAATAGTGTTTTACACCTCTTTTGTATTTAGTGATCTGGAAATGTGGAGGCAGTGCCACATTTTGGAACTCCTGGACCTTTACTATCTTCTCAAGTCCTTTTTCTGAAGGCCTCGGGATAACGCCAACCAGTTGTTCGCCTCTGGAATGACAATTTTCACAATTTCAGCAGTTTCTTCGGCGGCAACAGCTGATCGAGCTCTGGGTCAGGTCTTGACATTTCTGCAATTGCAGAAAACTGGCTGTTGTACATAACTAGATGCATTAGAAGCCTGGTTTGCTTCAGCCACACACTAGTAACGCACAAGTGGTATTTGTGTGCGTAGGCAGAATCTCTCAAAGGAATGAAAATTTGCAGTTTTATTATGTTAATTTAATTAACATCTAAGGCACTACACGTGCATTAAATTTAGAAACCGTATGACACCCTAAAGCATGTCCAGATTCTTCGTATTGACCATGCAAAGAGGCTGGACACGCTTTAGACTTTTGCTTAGCAGAATACTAGCTTTATTCTTTTATATGGATGTAAATATTGGTTTTATAACTTGCTTAAAAGGCTAACAGAACCAAACCAACAATCATCAACTACTACTTGTTTTTTTATATGCCTTGGAGTGCTCATGAAACAGTGGTGGGTGTGGAGCAAAGCAACGTGCTCTAGGAGTATAGGAGTTGAATTCTTGTATATAGAGACCCAGGCGCACATTTCCACAAGTCAATAAATTTACTAGGTAATATACTATACAACAATGATGGAATTTCTCTTAACTTTGCATGTGAGTTCAGTTTTCTTCAAGTGTCCAGCTCAGTAGCTCCTCCAAGTCACAATGTCATCAGCGCTCTTATTTAAATCAAACATAAATTAACAAGATGTTTCCAGTAATGATTTATTTTCTGAAAAAGCAGAACTGTGAACATCAGAGGGTCCTTAAAATCAACTTTGTTTTCTACAAATACATTTTTTTTATCACCTTAAAGTTAATGAACAATCTTGAGCTTTGATTGTGACTTTGACGTTTTATTATGTTAATTTAATCAACATCTATGGCGCTACATGTGCACTAAATGCACTAGATGTTCTTTCGGCTTGTCTGGCAGACATCAGGGCCCCGATAAGTACAAATTTCTTACAACAAGTGTCGAGATGAAAGCCATACTCATTGGCTCCCATTAACGTCTTCTATCCTGCGGCTTTGACTTCCTCAACCTCCCAGGCCTATCCTTCAGACTCACCAAACCAGTGCGCAACCTAGGTGTCAGGTTCGATCACAGCTGTGCTTCCTGCCCTATATCTGACTAGAACTGCCTTCCTCCACCTCCGCTACATTGCTGCCTCTGACCGTACCTTACCCCAAATGCAGCAAAAACACTTGTCCATGTGTTCGTCATCTCCTGACTTGACTTTTCAAATACCCTCTTTGCCGGTCTTCCTAGCTCCACCATACACAGGATCCAGCTGATCCAAAAATCTGTTTTTAAATCCCTTCATGCCCTGGCACCTCCCTACCTCTCTGACCTGCTTACCCCCCAACCCACTGCCTCCGCTCGACTGGCTCTGACCTTCTGATAACCCTCATGCCCTCCATTCCACCATTGATAGTCGCGCTTTTAGCCACCACACCCTGAAACTCTGGAACATTCTTCTTCTATCCTTCTATCTTGCCCCTTCCTTCTCCATCTTCAGGTCGTGCCTGAAGAACTTCCACTTCGACTCTGCGTACGTCACCTCCGCCCCCTACCCCCCCCCCCCCCCGGTTCGGCGTTAGGCTCCGACGCTGTCGAGCGCTCTGGGACGCTACCCTGTATTAGGGGCACTCTATAAATGCAAGTTGTTGTTGTTGACGTTCCAGTTAATAAAAATCTGAGCTTCACTTGTCACTTCTCTAACACACACAAATCCTATTTCATCTCTTTCAGTATTTTCTCTAACAAGAATGTTTGTGTCCACACTTACTGAAAGTGCCAACTCCTCACTTGATGTGGGAAGAATTGGCAATCTTACTGTTCAAAGCACATTTCCTGCACCTCCTCTGCTTTGCTACAGTTTCCTAGTAGCCACGTACTTTGAAATTATAAGGTGCCCAAAATAATGTAAGAAACAAGCCGACTTTATGCTGAAAAATAACTGGTGTATATATAGTGCTTTTTAACTGACTTAATCTTTCAATCATTTCACGTCAACCTATTACAAGCTTTACAAACTAACCTTGCTTAAAGTATTTGGATAATTGAGCTTTGACACTTGTCTAACAANTTTTTTCTCTCCTTCCTCTCTTCACTCCACCTTTGCTTTTATTTTATATTGGGTTTGTTGCTTTCTTTCTCCATCATCATAATCCCTCTCCTACCCTGGCATCTCCTTGTCACTCTGTTACCACTCACACAACCTTAGCATGGCAAGGCACTGATTTGATGCATAATCACGTTTTGACTGACGACGATCAATCAAGTCAAGATTCCTCAGGTCGCCGCAGTAGTCTTTCCCGCTTCGAGGCTGCTGACTTGTCCGAAGACTCTGATTATGACAGTATATGGCTGGCTCACAGTTACAGAATGGGCTCAACAACTCGCAAGAGTTGTTGCTCGTATATCTCTCACCAGAACTAAAAAAAACTAAAATTTTTAATATTGCTTGTAATTAATTCACTGTTTGTGATATTTTCTCTGCTATACTGTGGCTCTTTCTTTGAAATAATAACAAAGTAAGGCAATCAAATATTTAATGCTTGTATTTGAGGATCAGAGGCTTAGTAAACCGGAATCATTGTGTTCAGTATTTGAGCTTTTGGTTCATTCCAATATTAAGACACCTGCTAAATTATTACAGAATCTAAATCTTACTCTTAGCTCTTTCTTGTTAAAAAAAATTTTTTTGCGATTGTCTTTGAATACAGTATATTCTCTTCTGTTCTTGTCTGTTGGGGTTAATGTTTTTAAAGTTTCTCATTGAAAACATTTTTAATTGCAAATTAGGACAGTGGGCAAGTTTTACCGTTTCATCATATTATAACAGGAGGAATACAAGCTCGGTGGAAGTGATATTGAATGCGTAGAGCCGTAGAGGTGTTAGAAATTGTATTTCCTCCCACGTAAGTATGTTTGAAATGTTAGATGTTGAAGTGGATTAAAAGCTCTGGTGGTGCTAGAAGCTTGAGGCATGTCAAGTTTGTGAATGAATGCTATAGAAATGTTGGAAATGATAATTTGGTTGCAAGAACTTTCATTTTCATGTCGTACAGAAAGATGAATGAATCTTGTACTTGTGATTTCTGCCTCCAAACAATTTTCTGTCTGACATGGAACTATAGAAGCCCACTGATAGTTTGAGTTATGCTGAAAACAATGCAGTATTTTTTAATGTTCCAAACATGCCATAAGCTATGCCATAGAAGTTTTAAATATTATTTGCAAAGTGGTTCCAAATTTAAAGGCGCACTGGAGGCTACAGCATCTCAAGGCCAAAAAATATATATTTGAACCTTATTTAAAAAATGATTTCTTACAAAAGTCTTGTAGCATTGTGTATTCACAATTTAAATGATGGAGCACCATGTCCAACTAAATTCCATTTTTTTATGCAATTAGATAATATGATACAAATTTACATTTGGTTTGCGCCTTTCATGTATGGAGGACATCCCATTATGCTTAACACTCCTGGCTTGGCACCTGAACTGAGGGTGGTAAGGTTGGAGAAGGGAAAGATGACTGAATGAAGGCGTGGTCAAACAATTAGGTCTTAAAACAGACGTTGAAAGCGTTGAGGGGAGGGAACAAGCTGGAGAGATTCCCCGATGGAGTTCCTGAGAGTGGGGGCAGATAGACTGAATGTCTGACTGCTTTAGAATGTGTGTGTGTGTCTGTGTGTGCATATACACAAACACAAAATATCCCAGATAACTAAATCACTGGAAAAAATCATTTTCCAACCTGTCATTGAAATGCTTTACAAACACATTAAAGTAAAAAAAGGGTTCCCCAGGAGCAATTTTGTTGCTTGCTAAGGTAAACCTAGGTCACCAATACATCTTCCAAATACAAAGAACACTCTTAGAATGAATGGCAATAAGTAACTATGTAATCTGCCACCTTTGGAATTTATGAAAAGGCTGTACCACAATCCTACAATTCGCACGCCATTTATGAGCTGCAATTGTTACTCATATTGGTGAAACAGTCACTTAATCATTGGAACATAAAGCATGGAACAAGAAAAGGCCAGAACCACACACAAAAAAAGCTATTCATTGACTTTGCCCAATTCTATCTCCTTGGGATCAATCTGTGGGTCAGACTGGCTCACTGCATGTTGGGACTTTTAACACATAGCCCAGTCTGACAATCCATTGCAGTGCTCAAGAAGAGCAATTTTTTTCCTTATAAAATATTTAAAAGAAAACTATAGAATATTCATTGGAATGACTTAAATTCATGGTAAATAATTGCGGAATAAAATTGAAATTTCTTTAAACTCTGACCAAATATTAACTGTATAACATTGATATACTGTAGCCTCCAAATCTAAGGTTTCTTCCATTAATTTATTACATTGCATAAACTACTTTATCTTTAGTATACTTGAAGAATCTGATCAAAGCACTTTTAGAATAAAATTGAAATTACACTTTACATTTTTATAAACTCATTAACTTTTATATTGCTCTGACCATGTTTAATGAGACAAAACACCATTAAATTTAGGAACAGTGTTTGTGAAAGAAAAAAGGAGTTTGATTATAAAACATAAAAATAAGTTAATTTTTTTAGTTCTTAGGAAATTTGAATATACCAGTAAATTGGACATCTGTGGTTTTGAGGTGTTAACTACAGTTTTGTTCTTACTCCCCTTCCCCAAAATTATGTACTGCAGTTTGTGTTTAATACCTATGTCTTTCTAGTACTTGCACAGAGGCAGCCAAACAAAGCAACTTAATAGTCATCAGAATTAAATAAATGTTTTTTTAGAAAATAGTACTTTGGTGATTTCATTTGTGCAGAGTGCTTGTTGAAAGGTCACTTATTTATTCAACTTACAGATGTTATGTGATGTATTTGTTAATCAGTACAAAGCATTGCAAAACTATTGTTCAAATGATCTAACTTTGTGTTTTATAATGAATGTACATGGGTTTTAAGAGGATAAGAAAAAACTGTTAGATCAAACATTGACCAACAGCTTAATGTTTGCGGCATATTGTTAGATATTCAACCGTCACTATATTGTGTAAATTTTATGCACCTCTTTTTCAATTCAAACATATACAGAAACGATGGCTATTGAGTACCAGTGATATTTTATTCCGTAGGAGAACAGCTTTATAGATAATCTGATACTTTAACTGATTCTGTAATGTTTACATACCATATCATTCTGTACTTCTGTGATTTAAAACCTCGCACTGTGGAAAGTTCATGTTGCCACCTCAAATGTGTTTATTTGGATTCTTTTGACGTTCAGTCTTTCAGAGAACTAGAACTTGAGCTTATTACTGTTCAATGCAATAGGTCAACACTTGGTACTAAGACAGGTACTGTAATCCTTATGAAAGTGTTGAAAAAATAAATCAGATCCTACAGTACTAGCTTCAGTTGAGGTTTTAATAAAAACCATAATGTTGAAAACGTTAAATTATGTAGCTTAAGTTTCACTGCCAAATATGAAAATGGTCTCATTGAAGTATTCCAGTAGAAGCTGCCAGTTGCTCCACAAATCTACTCAACTTTAGCAATTACACTTTGGAAATTCAACAGCAAAGTTCATCAAACGGTTGGAGTCTGTATTTGCTGTAATCATACTACATTTGTATGCTTTATCTTGAAACAGATAGGACCGTCTACTCCCTGTGGGTTCACTCTTCAATCAGTTACAAAATGAAGCTTAGGAAATTATTTTATTTAGAAACTTCATTGGGTATGAACTTTTGTTGAGAAATTGAGGATTTACTTTGGGATTTTACCATTCATAATTTTTATGTTGGTGGAGAGCTTAAAACCTAGCATTGCCATTAAATTGGCCTTTGGCATTTTTCTAAAGTGAGCAATTAAAATGTCCATCATAGAAATGTTTTAAAGTTTAAGTGGCAACATTGTTTCATAGTTACCGTTGAGAGACTGTTTGTGAATCTGTATTCTTTCGTAGTTCAGCCAGCAGTACACACAGTATATATATTTTTGGCTAAGAATTGGGTATTCCTCAGTTATTACTAGTTAAAATTGATAAGCTGTTATTAGGTACGTCAATTCACCAATGGTTGTAAGGCTTTTACGTGATCCTTACCATAAAGTAAGATGTAGGTAACTCGAGTGTTTTTGTATAAGATTTCCTCCTACTGAAATACAATATGGTGTGCACTGATGTTAACTCAATATCCTGAACAGTGTGCAGTTTTATCTGTTGCTGATAACTGTTGGTGAAAACCAGATTTAAAGGGATAAAAGCCTTTAAATATACAATTTATGTATATCTGAGTGTTGCATATGTACAGTATGTGTATTGTTGTCTTCCTGTGGTTTGCATACATTGCACCGAAGTATTTGTTTTATAAATAATTTCACTTCTATTGTAAAATACAGTTCAGAAATAAAATATGCCTTTATTAGATTGTTTTGGGTTTTATTGGACATTAAGTTTCATTATTGTGCAATTAGAGGATGTAGTGTAGCAAAAACCTTTGATACATGCATACATGATATCCTATTAAAAAGATAAGGTTTTGTTCTCCAGGTGATGAATAATGATCAGAAGGTGTAATCACATAATTTAAGATTTTCTCTTCTGACTACTGCAATAAATATGCCATAACGAAAATCTTTATTTTGGTAATATTACAGCTGTGTATAAATTCATGTGACAAATGTCATCTCCTTCCGCACAGTCTTTGTCATATAAACCATCAAATTCATCACCAATCTTTTTCACTTGTTAACAACGCTTAAGCTGTGACTGTAATAGCTTTATAGTTATTCAATTAATCTTCAAATTCTACATTTTCATTCATTCATTTAAAAACTACTTCTAAAGTAGTAGTAGTCATTCTAAAGTATTACCTCAAATACTACTTTGTATTATCTAAATTGTGTACGTGGTGGCTGTGGAATGGTTCTGTTAACTTTGTTTATTCATTATGAAGTCAACAGACAAACTGTAGTTCTCCAGTTTCAATCACAGTCTCTGCTGCGTTATCTTATCTCAACCAGGGCAGATATTTGATAATGATAATTGGCAAAGACCATTAAAAGATAGTTTTAATCTACAAGATAAAAGCCCAAACATTTTTGCCTTTTTGGGGGAGGGAGGTGGGGGTAACCATTTTTGCATCAAATAACCAAAAACAAATGACCCAAATAGCTGAATTCAATGAAAATCAGGATTTATTTTGTTACACTGAAAAAACTCAAAGCAACTACAAGCTCCAAACCATCCAGAATACACCCCACATCCTCTCCTACACAAGGCACACAAGCCCATCACCCCCATCCCCACCTGGCTCCATTGGCATCCAATTAGCCCAGCAAATCAAGTTAAAGATCACCTTCCCCACCTTCAAATGACCTTACACTCTTGCCCTATGTTATCTCTGCAATCTCCTGTATTCCTACTCCCATCCCCAGCTGTTCCCTCCAATCTGCCAACTTTGACCTATGTCATTCTCCGACCGGCTCCATCCCACCATTGGCTCCCACCCTTTGTACTCTCTTTTGAAGTCTCTTTGATGCTCGAACCATCCCTTTCCATTTGCCAAACTATCTAAAGACCTAACTTTTTGTCAGTACTTTTGACCTATCCCCCCCATTATCCCCTCCCAGCGTAGTCTCCCACTTGTCTTTGTAAAGCACCCTGACATGTTCTCCCTGTGTGAAAGGCACTACATAACTAAGTTGTTGTTGACTGCGATATGTTTATGTGCACATTCCCAGACTGCTACATTGCACACACATTCCCATAAACTGAGCCTGCAATAAGAAAGGTCAATTAGACATTTTCAAACAGAAATTCAGCAGAAAATATTTACTGATTGTCTCTTACCCAAAAAATGGTCCTAAACAATTGGCCTGCCCCAGTGCTCAGGTTATGGAGGGGAAAATCAGCCGAAACGCCTGCTAGAAGGTCAAATCAGTGCGTAAGTCAGGTGAGGTTTGGAATTGTTTCAATCTGTAGTCGAATAGTCCAATGACACACACATGAATACATGGTAAATAGTGAGATACCGGGAGCAATCTACACCTATACAGCTCTACTCAACTAGAAGAAAAATAGGAGCCGTATTCCTAATTGCCCTTTACAATGGCTTGCAAAATAAATGTTTTGTATATTTAACTGCCTAGCTTTTTACAAGTTACACTCTTCACTGGATGCTTTAGAAGTTCCCAGTTTAGCAATTTTCTGCTCTAAATATATTTTTCATTGAATTTGATTCTTTTGATGACAGGAACTTTGTGTAAGCTTTAATGGGATAAGTTCCAGAATTATGAGTATGTTTCTTTCAAGTAATATGCAGTCTTCTTGCACTTCAAAGATGTATCATTTAATTTCCCACATTTATTTTCTTCCCTTATATGGGTGAGGTTTTTCCAGCTCTGTTGATATGTTGCTACAGCTGATTTGCAAGAGATATACACAAATAGTCCATCATCTGACTTTCTTTTCCGCTGACTCAAAAATAAATAGTTTGTCATCACTCAATTGTGATTCCTATTAACCCAAAACAGGAAATTGCTGTGAAATTTTTTTTGTGTTCACAATCCTACCCAATGCACTGACAAAAGCACCTGCTTATTTTATTTCTCGAGGCCTATTATTCAGCAGTTTCTAACCAGATTCTTTGCTTAGAAATTGAAGTGGGGACTCCTAATAATTGGATTATTGTCACAAGGACAATCTCCACTTGTGCCATCCAGTTGCAGCACTGTTTAATAATAATCCTTGCATTTGATATAGGGCATATTATCATGTCTTCGAGATGTCTCAAAGCGCTTCACAGAGTATACTGTAAAGTGAATTGAGTGTATAATTTGTGGGGAAATGCGGCAGCCAATTGCGCACAGCAGTGTCCTACAAACAGTCGTGGATTGAGTTTCCAAATTATTATTTTTTAAAATTGTTTTTGTTTTTAAGAGATTATTACCCCTGGGAAAGCAATCCGCCAATCGACTAACAGCAGGGTTCTTACTAAACAGAGGCGTGTGGAGTAAGGAAACTTGTCCAATGCTTTGCCCTGCCTAGGAATCAAACCTAGTTCCTCTCAAGTGCTCTAACCATGAAGCTACAGGACTCCACTACCAAATGAAGTATTACCAGTTAGTTGCAGAGTGAAGATGGCGTTTCCTTAATCCATAAATATTCATTTAACCTTCAGCTTCAGCAGAACACCTTTTGATAAACCAGTGACTGTTTTGAATCACAGCCATTCCTGTGACATCCCTGAGTGATTGATCCATTTAGTGCAAACTATGCACTTTTCCAAGGCAGGTGTTTTTACACACAATTGTGCAGCTTTCTCCAACTTCCATTCTTGGGTCCTTGGTTATACCACTGAAGCTGGGTGATGTACATGAGGGTTGATTTCCTGCTAATTCTTCTTTCCTCTTGTGAAAATGCTTGCCTCTGATGGCCTGACTGAGATTGGAAAATCACCTTGAGGGAATTTGTGAAGAAAAGAGCAAATCTTGCCACTCAGTATCCTTGTATTAATGCTCTGTTCCTGCTCAGGAGGTAATTTAATTTAAATAGTTATTCAGGATAAATAGTTATTCTGGTGCGATAAATATGACCAATTCACTATCAAGGCCACTTTTCCATCTTTTACTTAATTTGAAACTGATAGTGACAAATGTCACTGTTCAAATACATTGGGTTTCTTAATGAAATTCCATGATAAAGGAATCTTTGAGGAATCAAAGTAATTAAATGGGATTTCTTTTTATTAACTGGAAGTATGTCAATGTCAAGATACATGAACTTGGCTCCAATGTGATCTGCTTTCCGTTGCTGGGAGTTAATTCCTTATTAAGATGTACTGCAGATTTGATCCAACTATTGTTCTGTAGAATGACACTTTCAATTGTAACTTTGTTTTTGTTACAGCCTATCGCAAAGAGTGTGCTCCTCAGGTATTATTGCCCGAAGAGGAAAAAATTATTGTAGAAGAAACCAAAAGCAATGGCCAGACAGTCATAGAGGAAAAGTAAGAGAATGTTGCAAGTCATCTATTTTAGATAAATTATGATGGTAGAATGCTACCTATTTTCATGCCAAAACTGACAGCAATTCTGCTTATCTTTAACGGGCTCCAATGTGGAAGTGAAGTTAGGCTGGAATGTTTTTTAAATGTGCACATTTGCACCAGGTGATTAGTTTTGTGGTTTTATACACACTGCGCATTTATACATGCGTACATACCACAATACATGCACACTCTGGTGTCTGAACTGTTTACATATCCAAATTGAGCCTGATTTCAATTAGTGCTGTTTTCACAGTCTATTGTAATTAATTGGAACACATGTTGACTGTTTTTCAAGAGTTACCAAGCACAGCAAATGATAACTTTTGTAAAGTGTTGACAGGATAAAAGGAGGTAATTTGATACATTGGGTCTTTGTTGATGGAAACCAATGCACCAGATGGTTCTGGTATCTGATAGATGCACTTGTTAAAGTGATGTATAACATTTTTACTCTGTTTTTAATGAATTGACCAAGGAATGGTTCATGTTGATGCTGGATATAAAGTTCTATTTTCCATATCAACACAGCTAAATTAATTTTTTTTCATGAAGAGCATATATTGCATCAACTAATTGTTTAATGTCTTCTTTTACCTTTGGGCTGAAAACTCTAATATAATAATAATCCTTGCATTTGATATATCACCTTTTCATGTCTTCGAAACGTCTCAAAGCACTTCACAGAATATACCGAACTGAGTGTACATTTTGTGGGCGAAATGCGACAGCCAATTGCGCACAGCAGTGTCTCACAAACAGTTATAGATTGAAGTGATCAATTTATTGTTTTTTTTAAAGAATTATTACCCCCAGAAAAGTGATCCGCCAGTCGACAAACAACAGGGTTCCTACTTACTGCTAGGTAAACAGAGCCGTGTAGAGTCAGCAAACTTGCCTCTCGCTTGCGAGGCGAGCGCTCTAACCATTGAGCTACAGGACTCCACTAAATTGATGTGTTAATATGTTGATCGGGGGGGAAAGCAACTAGTCCATGTGTTAATTATTGACTGACCACAGCTATGCTAAAGCGGAACCCCTCCTTCTCCCAACACCATTCACAGTGGTTGCATGTAGAAACCAGCTGTGTAGATTTGTGGATAGCGGTGTATCATTTGGCAGGATACCAGCTTAACTGCGATTTTTTTTTTGTTTGGCTTTTTTTGTGTGCTAACTAGAAATCTAATTCTGCAATCTGTGCGAACACATCAAATGTTGCAGTGGAAAATTTAGATTGGAGAAACGTGTGCTAGCAATTCACATATTTATTTTTCTTTTTGTTGGATTCTTCTATGCAAATAATAATAATAATAATAATCCTTGCATTTGATATAGCGCTTTTCACGTCAGGAGGACGTCCCAAAGCGCTTCACAGAACACACTGTAAAGTGAATTGACTGTATATTTGTGGGCGAACGCGGCAGCCAATTGCGCACAGCAATGTCCCACAAACAGTCGTAGATTGAAAATTCCATTTTCAATAATAAATAATAAATAAATAAGAAAAAGAAAAAGAAAAGGCTGTAGTCTATCGGTTCCGACAGAAGATAATTATGTTGGTACTTGTGATGAATTTCACCCATTTCATTGTGTGTTTGAAAAACAAAATCAATATCTATTAAATTGCCAAGCATTTAGTATGCACTTGTACATCTTTAAATTGCTCAAAGTAGCATCTACATCTTATGAAATCTGATGTATACCAACAAATCTTATTTCTAATAATATAATCCTTGCATTTGATATAGCGCTTTTCACGTCTTCTAGACGTCTCAAAGTGCTTTACAGAATAGACTGTAAGGTGATTTGACTGTATATTTGTGGCCATATTTAGATACGGTGCTACATGTTGGTTCCTATGATTTAGTCTTATTGCCAGTCTATTCCTACCCTACATCCGGTCCCTGGCCAAGACCGTTTTCCTCCACCTCGCCACATTGCCCGTCTTCGACAATTCCTCAATACACAAGCTGCCAAAACATTTGACCACGCCTTCGTCACCTCTCGACTGGACTACTCAAATGGCCTCCTCGCCAGTCTCCCCTCCTCCATTATCACAAAATTTAACTCACCCGCACCAAACTCCGCACCCTGATTACCCCATTCCTTGCCAAACTCCACTGGCTCCCTGTCACAGAGCGGATTGACTTCAAGATCCTCACTCTAGTGTTTAAATCTTCACTCCATGCTTTGGCACCCGCCTATCTCTCCAAACTCCTCTCTCCTCATAGTAGTACCCTCTGCCTCTGCTCTACTGGGTTCAGCCTCCTCCTTGTCCACCATCGGCCTGCGTGCCTTCAGCCACTACGCCCCGAAGCTGTGGAAGTCCCTCCCTCAATCACTTTGCCATGCTCCCTCCTTCCCCATTTTCAGGTTGTACCTGAAGATCTTCCTCTTCAACCGCACCTATGGTCACCTTCCCCATCCCCCTGGCTCGGCATCAGGCTCTGCCATTGTTAAGCGCACTGGGACACCGCCTGGCATGGAGGGCACTATATAAATGCAATCTGTTGTTGTTAGACTGTGTCATTCCTCCATTCTATCCATATTGAAGGAAAATAATGTCTGATTTTAATAATAATAATGCTTTCCATCTAAAGTTAACAGGCAGTGAAGAAATAGAATTTAGAGATGATATACAAATCTATTGAGGAGATTTTGTGAATGAGTTTCTATCAATCTACAATCATTATGTACATATTTTGTTCAATGTAAAGAAAATACAGTAATGCTCACATAAGTTTTATTAGTCAGGACCATAACATTTAACATCACTTGTGCGAAGTCTGAGTTGCAGGCATACTGCGAGTCATTTAAAATCCAATTTAATCAATAATCTACATTATACATGTGTAATTCAATGCAGCTGGTAAGTGCACATGCAGTAGTTTGTCACTGAAGCTGATAAGTGCGCAACAGTCACGGATTAAGATTACATTTCCCACGATTCAATGAGTCTTGCCCTTTTGCCTCCGAATGCACACTTACTGGCAAGCGTTGGAACCTCTTTGAATTGCGGGAAATGAAGTTCTTCTGCACATGCATCAACGGATCAACACTGTTTCCCGCGATTCAGTGTAGCCGGCTAGTAACTGCCCATGTGTCGATGGGTCATGACATTGTTTCCCGTGATTCAATTCAATGTGTGATGGAGGATAGTGGAGTGGCATTACGAGTTTGGAGGTAATACGAGTAGGGCAAAGAAATCTAAGTGGTTTTGATAGGAAACTGAAAGGGACTCAGGTGAATGTATAACTTAAGCGATTACACTATTTATAAAGATAAAACTTGTGCGAGTTTTACTGTATTGGGCAAGAATGTTTGACCACAGACAGCAAAATAATCTAAAAAAATTAACTACACAAGAAAATGACATGTCTGATAATTTCAATATGAATGTTTTTGATAGTTATGTTTTTTCTTTTCAAATAGAAGTCTTGTAGATACAGTTTATGCATTGAAGGATGAAGTACAAGAGTTAAAGCAGGTAAGCACCTCATTTGCACTGTGAATTCTCTGCTCTAATTTGGAGTATTTTCCACTGTGGACCTGTGATGGATTGTGGTAAACGATTGTGAGTCCAAATTGTGGGGGTGGATCTCATCGTCAAATGGCATCTTAATAAATCTTTGTTATCCAATCCTTAAATTAATTTGAGGTTTGAATTTTCTATTTTAGGAAAACAAGAAGATGAGGCGCTCTCTAGAGGAGGAGCAGAGAGCTCGCAAGGAGTTAGAGAAGTTGGTTAGGAAAGTTTTAAAGAATATGAATGATTCTTCTTGGGATGAAACCAACTTATAGTGAGATTGGGCTTCCTGCAACAGCATACCGAGTTCTAATGCGTAAACTTACGCCACCACAGTAACTGTATCTGCAATTCAATCAGTGAGATTTAATCGATTGTGGAACTGGCAAACCGTTCAATTAATATCTGTGTTGTTCTATTCACATCCTGAATGACACAAGAGCAGTACTTAACTGGGCACTTGGAAATACGCACTTCTTACAGAGGACTGAAAACCTAGACTGAAGCTAGAGACCTTCAACAGCTGCATATTTTTTACTTGCATTCTCTTTAATTACCTCAGTTCAGCAACTGTGCAGCCATTGATTAAATATTCTGTACCTTTCACTTGTGATGCTGTAGGTGTAAGATATGATTTTATTGTGAAAGGTGTAGAGATAATGAATTTTGCATTCAAGTGATTTCTCCTCTTTCATAGAATGCCTTTTGGTCACAAGCAAACCTTTGTAATGTGTGAACATTTATGATAACAAATCACCTTAGACTTCAAGAATCTGACAAATCAGAAAATAGCATTCCTCTCTAGTGTGTAACTTAAAAGTAATTTATGATATGATTATAAAGTTATAGTAAGGATGATGAAAAACATTCTTGGAACACAAGTGGGCTGGCACCATCCTGTGTGCTTGTGACCATGGTGCCTATTGTTTTGCACATGTGTATAAGAGCTTTCTTACTAAAATGTAACTTTCTGCTCATTAATTAAAGCTATGGTGGCCCACAAATATATTTTATTTCCATAGGAGCCTTCCAATTGAAAACATTTGATTTGCCATAATCATATGAAATTCAGTCTAATTTTACTTTTTAGGTAGCGGAGTTCAAGATTGGAAATGATGCATTTCTTTACATTTAGAACTCACCTCTCATCTGATCTGCAATTCCAAAGTTAGAGCAACCAGTCTACTCAAAGCTATTACTTTCCACGCTCAATCTTCACTCAGAAGATAGTGTTGGAAAAATTCAATTTAAAATCTGATATTCGGTTATTGACTTTATTTATTATGGGACCTCTGGAAAGAAATACTTAATTGTGAGGCACTGAATCTTTAACCTTATACATTGGTGTTTGTTTTTAGTGATTATACTGGCAGCTACCAAACTGAACTTGGCCAAATACTTTCTTGCAGTTTGCAGGGACTGTTGCATTTAAAAAACGAGCTTACATCCTCCTAATTTTACTGCCAACATTTTGTCACAATATCTTTACAATTGGTCCTTACAGGAAATATTGCAGCTTTGTCAAAGTTTGAAGTCATGCAGCAAGCGAGACACAGAGCAGTTCATTTTTTGGCTTAAGTTGCTTAATTGAAGATTTTATTAAAACGTTGATTTAAAAAAAACCTTCGGTATTTTCATTTGACACCTGAATTGAAGCTCTCCCTGTCTTTCTACCTCCCCTTGTAATCCATCATGAAAACCGAAGTCTCTCCCTCTGATCTGCACTTTATAGAAGCGGACTCAGTGAGAGAATAAATATTTTTTGTCATGCTCAAACATGTCAGAAGTTGGCAGCTATTCTGTATGAATAATTGGTGATTTAGAGATGGATGCAGGGGTAAAAATATTAGTTTGCAGGATTTGTTCACAAACACTACTGATGTTGATAATCTTGGCCAATTGGGTCCTTTTCAAAGGGTTCTTGTGTGGGCTAATAATTAAGTAAAACTGCTTGAAAATGTCTTGTAACTGAACTGGGTTTGCAAATGTTTTCCTTCTCTCCATTTGGAGTATTCTGTCTATTCTTTATCTCCATTCCCTCCCCAATAACTCCGTTTTATCTTTTCACTGATTAAGAGAGCATGGAAGTGGCATTGGTTGCTGCCAATATAAGCACCACAACAAAAGTCTTTAAACCATTTCAGTGACTGGCTTTCTGACAAATCCTTTTTTTAACCTGAGAATGAGAAACACGTTTTCCCCAGAATAAACCCTGAGAGGTAAGGAACCAAGAGGTCTCCTGCTCTTCCATTTTGTTCTGTTTAAATGGAGTTTCATGTTCTTTAAATTGTAGCTTCTTGTGTGCAATATTTTCAATCTTGTTTCCTCAGTACAGTATTACAGTCTGATTGTGCCAGCACTTGTTTTAGGGCAGTTACACCGTAACCATAGCTTGTTCTGGGCTTGATTTAAAACCAGGTCCTGAGGTGAAAGTATATTGTTCTTTCCTATTTCCTGCAATGTAACATTGCACATGTCATTATCTTAAGATTAGCCCTACTGAAAACAATGTTTTTGAAAATATGAAAATTACTGGAAAGTACACTGGGTAACCATTATAACCTTTTACTTCCTGAGACTTGCATTCAAATCTAGCCCAGACAGGTGGGATAATAGTTTGAATTCGCTGGAACTGTATGAAAATGAACAGTGCTGTCAAAACCCAATTTCTCATGGGCATAGATTAAAACAACTCAGATTTGGGCACAAATTGACACTGAAATGATAATCTCACACAGAGGAAATCATGAAAATAGCTGTTACAGGAAATCCAGTTGGGGCTGTTTTTCAACGGACTGAGTTAAGGAGCGGGACTGATGAGGAATTAAGGGAGGTGACACTTAGTGTCAAAGTTTGTGAATTTGCTGAGCACAAAGTATCAGAAAAATAAACGTTTTAAGAATGAAACATAACTTGGTTGAGATAATTAACTTTTGTTTTCGGGAAAAATGTTGACATTTAAAATCTTATACAGTAACAAAGTGGGTAAAACAAATTAAATGAAATTTGGCATCTCTTAAGAAGGCGAATGGGAATGTGAGATGTTTTAAGTATCTCTTCTGTACACTAACAGGAGATAAAGCAGTAATATCTCTGGATTCAAAACGTGTTAAGCAAATATGGTTCACGGACATATGGCAACAATTAAAGGAGATGTCAATTTGAACACTTTGTACTGTTTGAATTGTGGTGCATCCTAACTCGTTCTGCTGTGAAACTTACCTTGGAGAGTAGAATTTTATGGGACTGTGAAATCAAGCCATGTATTTGGCAGCTTATACTCTTGGGTATATGTAAGTTCACATCATGCCAGATTTAAGTCTGGCACAAATGAATAAGCAAATTTTAAAAAAAAGTGCCAGACAAGAACTGTACAGTTTCTAAACATATTTATATGACAGTATTAAAAAAAAACTGTTACAAACAAAAATAAATGGATGGTGTGTGTGCCTGGCCCCCATTTGGAGCAGGCAATGAACATTTACCCAAGTACTTTCCCCATTGTTTTAAATCAAAATATGATTTACTTGAGTATACTACTTTTCCAAGCAATTATTTTGCCCGGTATTTAAAGGGACATGTATTTTTGAAATCTATTTGACAAACTTTATGGAGAAAGAGGAATTGTATGTCATCATTTTCAGTGTTTTGATATTTGTGTCATGAGGTTGTATGTTTGTAAGTAAATTAAAAATATTTGTTAAATATGCCAGTCTGAAGACAGTGCCTTGAAATAAGCAGGGCCGGTTTAAAAACAATTGGGTAAATTCAGATGTTTAATAAAAGGTAATCACTGTATATCTCAATTGCCTGCTCTGATTATGTTAAAGACAACATGTACGTAACATTTCCTCATTCCTCAAAGATGTAGATATTTAAAGACTAGACTTGATTGAATACTGCTACGTGTGAAGGTGAGAATTCTTACAGGCCACATTGGTCAATGACTGATTTGTACTGAAGGGTGGCTATGTAAATAGATGTAATAAAACTATTGAAGAAAAAAGCAGGAATTTAGCCTCTTTGAACTGTGTGTTGTATGTTGCATATTTCCACTAATAAATCTGCCTGTGAGTGCTCGGGAACAGAAAGAGTGTATCGATGTAATCACAACACAAACGTCTTCAAACACAAAAACTGTAAGTTATTTATTCCTTCATAGTTTCCGTGTTTCATTTGAATGAAAGTTGGATGAAAGTACAGATGTGTTGTCCTGTATTTGTTTATTGTGAATAGTAAAAAAAACTATGATTATGAATACCTACTAAATTAAACTGAGGTGCAATTAAAATGACTGTTGCTAAATAATTTCCATTTAGAGTATAATACTGTATTCAATTTTGGTTGTCAAGTCAACCTGTCATGAATACTACCATTCATACATGCAAAATTATAATATTAATTTGTACATCTTTAGCAATTCATATTAAAAAAAATTTAAAAATAGAATGATGAGGGGAGAGAATAAATTGGATGAGCGTCATTTTTTTCAGTCAGAGCTGAAAGTGGTAGTAATGATGATAATAATAATCCTTGAATTTCACATAGTGCCATATCACATCTTCCAAACATCTCAAATCGCTTTGTAAAATATTACTGTAAAGTCTATATTTTGTGGGCAAAATGCGGCAGACAATTGCGCACAGCAATGTCCCACAACAGTATATATTGCTAACATTAACATTATATAAGTGTTAGATTGGAACATCATTCACCTGATGCTAAAATTTTGATTGATGTGCTTAGCCGAACAACCTGCCTACTTCCTCCTCTCAGCAAAACTGGCCTGCTTCATGTTCCCTGCCCTGCTTGCAGCACCACTGGCAGTCGGGCTTTACACGTTTCTGCCCCCATGCAGTGGAACACCTTCCTGGAGTCCCTTTATTCGCCCCTTCCCTTGCCTGCTTCAAGGTCGAGACCTTCCTCTTTGATTTGGTCAAATTGCCCCCCCCCCCACTATCCCACCCAGCTTCGATACAAACCCTCGTCCTCCCAGTGTGAAAGGTGCTTTTTGAATACAATTTGTTGGATGATACCAGGATGATATCTTATGCGTGCAATAAAAGATTTAATTAAAAGTTGAAGTTGAAACTGTTCTTGGGTCTTGTGCAGTTATGGACTGGGCAAAAGGTAGTCATTTTATTCTAGACCAAAGAAAGGGGACAAATGGTAAAGAGGATTTATGCACTAGACCAAGTTGTAGTAGTACCAGATTTTGCCACATGATGGCACCTGGAACAAACTGTTCTGGAACATGATGTTCTTAATTACAAGCAAAAAATAAGAACATGCAATTCTTTTTAAAAATTATATTTGGGTTTGAAAATCAAATTAAAGCCAAAATAAAGGGTACAAGCACGGACTGTTAGAACCGAATGGCCTGTTTCTGTGCTGACTTAAAAAGTCAGCATCCTTGCATTTGGTATACAAAAATACAAAATTACACTTGTAAAGTGTCTTTCACATCGGGAGGACGTCCCAAGGTGCTGGACAATCAGTGTTTCGACCCAAGCTGGGGATTGGGGAGGGTGGAGGGCAGGCGGGAGAAAGGAGGTTGATGAAAGGCACGGTCGAAGAGGAGGGTCTTGAAGTATGCAAGGGAAGGGGGCGAGGCGGAGGGACTGCGGGATGGAGTTCCAGATGGTGGGGGCAGAGTGGCTGAAAGCCCGCCCGCCAGTGGTGGGGACGTGGAACAGGCTGGAGCCCGCTGAGTGTTGGGAATGGGCAGGATGGTAGGGTATTAGGAAGTTGCAGAGGTAGGGGAGAGTGAGGCCAGTGAGGACCAGAATCTTGAATTGTATCCTCTGTGTGATGTGAAGCCAGTGGAGTCGGGCGAGTATGGGGGTGGAGCCTGGTGCGGGAGAGGACACAGGCTGCAGAGTTCTGGATGATCTGCAGCCTATGGAGGGAGGAGTTGGGGAGGCCGACAAACAGGGAGTTTGCATAGTCAAGCCTGGATGTGAGACAGTGGCGGAGCGAGTGATATTGTGAAGGTGAGGAAAGGTGGAGCGGGTCATGGCATGGATGTAGGGTATGAAGGATAGGTGAGGGTCGAACAGAACAGCGAGGTTCCGTATTGGTTCCGTGAGACATAGAATGCATCCATGGGTGGGAGATGCTGTCAGTGCCTGAGGTGCCAAGCAGAAGGGTCTTGTTGACCTTCAACTGCAGGAAGTTTACTCTCATTCAGGACTTGATGTCCGACAGGCAATCTATGAGGACAGCAGTGGTCCTGGAATCAAGAGTGGAGGCAAACTTGGGTGTCATCCTCATACATGTGGAAGTTGACCTCATGTCTGCGGATAATGTTGCCAATGGGAAGCATATATATATTGAAAAAGGGAGGGTCAAGGACAGAGCCCTGAGGGACGCCACACATGACGGTGCGGGGGCTGGAGAGGAAGCTATTAGTGCGGCAAAGTGGAGGTGGTGGAAGAGGTAGGATTCGAACCACCAACAGCAGGTCCGGGAAGGTTGATCTAAGAGGAGAGGCGGTGTAGGAGGATAGAATGCTCGACAGTGTCGAAGGCAGCAGAGAGGTCGAGGAGGACAAGGAGGCAGATAGATCCTAGTCACAGATGTTTAGAATGTTGTTAGTGACCTCGACCAGGGTTATACCAATTGGTAGAGCGTCTTTTCACGTTGTTGAGATCTCAAAACACTTTGCAGGATTTTACTGTGAAATGTGGTGACTGTATTTGTAGGCGAATGAGGCAGCCAAAGTGTGCACAACAATGTCCTGTATTTGATTAATATAAATGTATCATAAATTCAGGTCACATCATAATTTTAAAGAATCAAAATTCACAAAAAAGTGACTAAAGCAATAAATTCTACAATTTACATATACAAATATTTGCCAGAAACCTCAGCAAGAAATGTCCATTAACTTTTTTTTACCTTTTCTGTACAACACAAAAGAAGTTTGAAAAATAAATCTGGTAAATTTCAGAGGAGGTCATGCACAGTTTCACCAAAAACAGATAAACGTCTGCAGTATATTTGTATGACAGATGGTATCTAAATCTTGGCCTTAGTTAAAATAAGAATTTAATTTGGGGGTCTTTAAATTTAGTTCATGTAACAACCGCAGGAAGCAGTTTCCTCTGGAAACTTTCCAATTTGGATCCGTCCAGCTTGCTTGGAAGAAATGCACTAAATGCACTATCTAAGTGGATTATATAGCGTTTTGCCCACAAAATTAAAAGGGAGAGAAAAAAATGGGGAACTATAGATCAATTAGCCTGACATTGGTGATAGGGAAAATTCTAGAGTCTATAATTAGGGATGTTGTCGTGGGGCACTTAGAAAGTCATAATGTGATTAGGCAGAGTTTTATGAAAGGGAAATCGTGTTTAACAAATCTTTTAGAGTTTTTTGAGGATGTAACTAGCAGGTTAGATAGGGAAAACCAGTGGATAGTGTACTTGGATTTTCAGAAGGTATTCGACAAGGTGCCACATAAAAGGTTGTTACATAAAATTAGGGCTCGTGGAATTAAGGGTAATATATTAGCATGGATCGAAGAATGGTTAACAGGCAGACAGCAGAGTAGGGATAAACGGGTCCTTCTCAGATTGGCAGGTTGTGACTAGTGGATTGCCGCAAGGATCAGTGCTTGGGCTTCAACTGTTTACAGTCTACATCAATGACTTAGATGAGGAAATAGAGCTTAATGTATCTAAATTCACGGACGATACAAAACTTGGTGGGAAAGTTAGCTGTGAGGAGGAAACAAGGAGGATGCAAAGGGATATAGACAGATTAAGTGAGTGGGCAAGAAGGTGCCAGATGGAGTATAATGTGGCGAAGTGTGAAGTTATTCACCTGGGTAGAAAAAATAGAAAAGCAGATTATTTTCTAGAAAGGGAGAGACTAGATAATGTTAGTATTCAGAGGGATTTAGGTGTCCTTGTACACCAATCACAGAAAGTTATGCAGGTACAGCAAGCAACTAGGAAAGCTAATAGCATGTTAGCGTTTATTGCAAAGGATTAGAATACAAGAGTAGGGAAGTCTTACTGCAATTGTTTAGGGGTTTGGTGAGACGGCATCTGGAATATTGTGTGCAGTTTTGGTCTCCTTAGCTAAGAAAGGATATACTCGCCTTAGAGGGGGTGCAACATAGGTTTACTAGGTTGGTTCCTGGGATGAGGGAGTTGACCTATGAGGAGAGGTTGAGTAGACTAGAATATAGAAGAATTAGAGGTGATCTTACAGAAACCTATAAGATTCTTAAGGGTCTTGACAGAGTATATAGTGTGAGATTGTTTCCCCTGGTTGGAGAATCTAAAATTAGGGCTCATAGTCTCAGGATTAAAGATCAGCCTTTTAGAACTGATCTGAGAAAACATTTCTTCACTCAGAGGGTAGTGAATTTATGGAATTCTCTACCCCAGAAGGCTGTGGATGCTCAGTCCTTGAACATGTTCAAGAATGACATCGATAGATTTTTAAATTTTTGAAAAGGGATTAAGGGGATATGGGGACAGGGCAGGTAAATGGAATTAAGTTAGAAGATCAGCCGTGATCTTATTAGATGGCGGAGCAGGCTCGTGAGGCAGAATGGCCTACTCCTGCTCGTATTTTTTATGTTCTTAAACAGTTAATTCACTTTACAATATATTCTGTGAAGCGTTTTTTTGCTTACTCAACAATTCTGCATATGGAGAGTCAATCTAGACCCAGGTGGAATTTTCCCCCATATTTCACTACTGAATCATAAGCCTGCTTAAAGCATATATAAAAAAAACCTGCCATCTTTACTGTATTCTCATCACTTTTCTCAGGGTTAATATGATCATTTTAATTTCTAAGGCAAAATATGTAATGGAAAATAGTTTCATATATTTGCATGAAAAAATGCAGAACAGTTATGGACTACTAAATAAATGGCTGTTTCAAATAAAAGAATCAACAGAATCCTTGTGTAATATAAGCCCTATTTACTAGGTTCTTACATTTTCTTTATGAAGGACGTACTGAGATTTGGGTTCACTGTTAATTGTA